AGCCTTTTCCTCATTTGCTTCGTGATTAATTCTTTATGTACACACATACATAAGATGGTTTTCTGAGCTACAGCCCTACACTACATTTCCAAAACGGGGAGAGCATTCTCATAAGACTACCACACAGTCCTGCATCTAGGACATAAATCTTGTTGTACCACACACATTCCAGTTTTGTCATCTGGCCTAAGTATTATTTTTTGGAGCACCCCCCCTATTCCAGGATCAGGTAATTCCTTCATCTGTCAAGTCATTTAGCTTCCTTGAATTTGGAATGCTTCCACAGCCTTTGTCTTGTATGACACTGACATTTTTGACAAACACAGCCCCTCCCTTTATCCCCCATTAAACAATTCCTCATTTGGGATTTGTTTGATGCCCCCTTGTGATTAGATTCTGGCAATGTGTGCTGGCCAGAACACTGCTCAGGTGCCACTGTGTCTGCCTCAGAGCACCACATTGGGAATTTGGGAGGCCTACTGCCTCTTGGTATTTGTGTTGATCACCTCTTTAATTCTAACTTCCATTCATCTGGGTTTTATTGCAGAAGGCAAAATGAAATGTTAGCAGCCATCTCATGAGCACATGTATATTTTGTAGTTTATAAGAAAAACAAGGGACAGAGAACCAGATAGAACAATACTATCAGAAAACATCTGGACAAGCCTGGCTGGTATGGCTCAGTGGATTGAGCATAGTCCCATGGACTGAGAGATCTTGGTTCAATTCCCATGGAGGGCACATGCCTGGGTTACAGGCTTGATACCCAGTAGGGGGCGTGCAGGAGGCAGCTGATCAATGTTTCTCTCACATCCATGTTGCTATCTCTTTCTCCTTTCCTGTCTCTCTAAAAAATAAAATAAAAACATTTGAAAAAAGAAAGAAAACAGCTGGACAGATCCACAATATATAAGATGGCCTACAAGGCAACAGCCAGTTCTCTTCAAAATGTTAGCGTCATGGGGGAGAAACAGGTGTTCTAGATTAAAAAGACTAAAGGCACATCATGGCCAACCAAATTTTTGCAAAGACATCCTCAACAGCTTCTCCCATCCCACATCCCCTTTGCAGTGTGACATAAACACTTGTCCACCAAGATGAGCCTATGTCCCTCCCTGCAGCTCTGTGGGGTCTTGGTGGTAGTGATATGGAATAATTTCCAAGGTGGGGTCAGAAACCTTGTAGCTCCCACTTGGTCCTCCTGAAACACTTGCTCTCTGATGCTCCCTACCCACCACCACCATGAAACTCCCTCCAGGAGCCCAGCCCCAAGGAAAGGAGCTCCCAGATGACTCCAGCCCCAGGCACTCGGTTACCCCAGCTGTCCAGTCTTTCCAGCCAAGGTTCCAATATCACAGAGCAGAGACAGGCTGACTGCTCTGTGCCCTCTCTGAATTCCTGACCCCCAGGGTCCACAGCACAATAAAGAGGCTGTTTTATGCCAGTAAATCTCAAATAGCATTTAAAGTCCAATGTAGTGTGTCAACCTCAACTAGATCCTAGTTCTAAAAAGTTTACTTTATATAAAACATTTCTGAATAATTGGAGAAATGTGGATATGATCTGAATATTGGTTAATAAGTAATTATAATTAAGTTTCTTAAGTATGATGACAGTACTGTGGTTAGGTAGAAGATGCATTCATTTCTAGGAGATACCTGCTGAAATATTTAGGAGCATAGTATTATTATATCTATAACTTACTCTCAAATGGCTCATAAAACACAACCACATACAGACAGAAGTACAACGACAAATATAAACAAATAACTAAAACACATACGACAGTTAACAAACTGTTAAATTAAGGTTGTGGTATGTGGCTGATTAGTGTATATCATCTCAACTTTTCTTTGTGTTTACAGTTTTTCATAACAAAAAGCCGAGGGAAGAAAAAAGTGGATATCTATAACCCATTTAAAAATTTATCCTAGAGATAAGCTGAAATAGGGTCAGGCAGCTGTCTGGGACTAGTAAATCCCCAGATAGGCCATTCATACAAAAAGCTGGTCCTTAGGCAAATGCAGAGTCTGCAGTTTTCATCTTAAATCAATCCCTGAATTATCCTCCTGATGGAGAAGGTACAAGCAAAGCTACCACACACTCATAAAAACTAACACCCAAACCTGGGAACCAAGACAAGCCACCCACCCACGAGTGGCCTGAGGTGGTCTCCATGGAAACCTCTCATCAGCCATGCAAGGGAAGAGGAAGGCCAGGAGAAAAAAAACTATGGGGACTTATCTCATGGATGGAGAAGGAATTTAAGAAGCTGAAGGTAACAACCATACTCCTAGAGCTAATAAGTGTGCTCTGCAAGGTGGCAGGATGCAAGATCAACAGATGAAAATCCATTGGGAAGCTATGTCCTAACAGTAAAGATGCAGAAACCAAAATTAAATACATAAATTCATATGCTGAAGACCTAACCCCCAATGTTATGTTTGGAGATAGTGCTCTTAAAAGACAATGAAGGTTAAATGAGCTCAAAGGATGGGTCCTAATCGGATAGGATTGGGACCTTATAAGAAAAAAGAGAAATAAACACAGTCTCTCTCCCTCTATGTGCACACACTGAAGAAAGGCTATGTGCAGACACAGTGAGAAGGCAGATATCTGCAAGCCAAGAAGAAAGCTCTCACCAGGAACCAAATCAGCCAGCACTCTGATCTTGGACTTCTAGCCTCCAGAACTGTGAGACAATAAATCTCTGTTGTTAAGTTGCACAATCTATGGTATTTTGTTATGGCAATCTGAGCAGACTAATACAGTGACCACTTTGAAGAAACTCAGAGTACTCTCAAATTAAATGACTTTACCAGAGTGGAACCAATTCAGGAGAAGAGGACACCCAGCTCCAGCCCCTCTAGCCTTTCTGTCTCAGTACACACCCATCAGAGTGGCCAAAATAAAATAGGAACACCACCAAATGCTGGCAAGATATGGAGAAACTGGATCAAAAATACATTGCTAATGGAAACATAAACTGTTACAGCCACTCTGGATAATAGTTTGGCAGTTTCTCATAAAACTTAACATGTAACTACCACACATAGCTCAGCAACTGCACTCTTGGGCACTTATCCAAGTGAAATAAAAACTTACGTTCATACAAAAACCTGCATAGAAATGTTCATAACAGCATTATTTGTGATAGCCCAAAACTGAAATCAGCTCAGCTATCTTTTAAAAAGTGAGTGTTCAGCCCTGGCCGGTTTGGCTCAGCGGTTAGAGCGTCGGCCTGCGGTACAGAGAGACCCGGGTTCGGTTCCCGCTAACGGCACGTACCTCGGTTGCAGTTTGTCCCCGGCCCTGGTTGGTTGTGCGGGTGGCAGCCACTCGATGTGTTCCTTTCACATCGATGTTTCTCTCTCGCTCTCTGTTCCTCTCTCTCCCTCCCACTCTACCTGAACAAAAAATGGAAAAATGTCCTCAGGTGAGGATAAAAAAATAAACAATAAAAATAAAATAAAATAAAAAGTGAGTGTTGAAACAAACTGTGGGACATCAATACATTAGAATACTATTCAGCAATAAAAAGAAGCTAACTATGCTACTTGGATGAATCTCCAGGATTAAGATATGTGAGAAAAGTCAGTCCCAGAGGTTATATTCTGTATGATTCTTTTTATATAACATTTTGAAATCACATAATTTTAGAAGTGAAGAAAAAAATTAGGGGCTGTCAGGAGTTAGGGGCTGGGGTATGTGGGCAAGAAGAAGGTAGGTATGGTTATAAAAGAAAAACATGAAGGGTCCTTGTGGAGTTGAAACTGTTCAGTATCTTGACTGTGGTGGTGGATACATGAACCTACACAGGGGATAACATTGTGTAGAACTTAATACACTCCCCCTAACCCTACTAAACACACACAACTACACATGTAAAACTGGTGAAATCTGAATAAGATCCAAGGATTGTATCAATGTCAATAGTTTGGTTATGATATTTGTAATACACTGATCTGTATCCTCCCAAAATTCCTATGTTGAAGCCTCAACCCACAGTACCTCAGAATGTAACTATACTATATTTAGAGACAGGATCTTTAAAACAAAGGAGATTAGGGTAAAATGAGGTCATATGAGTAGGCCCTAATCCAATATGATGGTGTCCTAATAAGAAGGGATTAGGACACAGACATGAACCAGGGAAGATCATGTGAGGACATGAGATGATAGCTGTCTACAAGCCACCAGCAACTGATGGTAACATATTATAACCCACTGAATGAAACAAGAACCCATGATAGAAATATAATGATGTAAATAAATAAATAAATGGAGAGGAGAAAAAGCTCTTCTTCACACTGGAATACCAATTAATAAATACAAAAGGAATGGTGGAATTAGTCACCAATTGGACACCACCATAGTAATATTGACTCCACCAAGAAACAAATGATAAAGTGGGTGACAGTTTAAAGAAGTACAGAATATTTATATAATATCAAAGTATCCACCCATAAAATACTCATTAATTACACAGGAAAAAGTAACTTTACTTTGGAGCAGTCTGGCCAACACTACCTAACCAAGAACCACTAGTAATGAGACAAATCATTGTACCCTTGATAGAATGAAATGAGAAGAACACAGTATCATTTTTGTTTTATTCCTGCCAAGGATGCATTGTCTAACTCTAATCACAAGGAAACATCAAACAAATTAAACTGAAAAACTTTGTACAAAATAACTGCTTATTATCTTCAAAAGTACAAAGGCCCTAAAAACCAAGGACAGACTGACTGAAAGATACTAACTGCCAAATGTGATTCGGAACCAGTGCGACAGCTGGCAAAACTGAACATGTAGGAGACTAAGTCAGGGATTCCATACCACATTCATTTCCTGATTTTTGACGATGAGGGGGTCGATGGGTCAGCAACTCACTCTCAAATCTGTCAAAAAAGTTCTCTATTTCCTTTTGGTTAGTTTAAAATGATTAAAAAAAAAAAAGTAGGGTAGAATTAGCTTCATGCCAGGTATCAATACTTGACCTGTTTGTTGAGCTCTTCCATTTCAGAGCAGGCTTTTTCCTTGTCTCTCTTTAAAATCTCAATTTCCTTCCTGTAGAAGAAGCAAAATTAACACTATCACTTTGACTAGCCAGCTTCTTTTTTCCTAGTCATTGCCCATTGTAACCGTAGCACCTGAATCTGTGGCCACATAACACTCTCACACCTGCTCTTGGTACCCTACAGTCAACACTTGGTTACTATTCTACATTATTGTTACTGCTGCTGCTGCTGCTGATCCAATCCAGATCCCAATCCTCAGAACCAGAGGACACTGCCAGTATTATAGAACAAAAACCCTCTATAATATTCCTGATTTATACCCATTAATGTGTCTTTAGCACAACATGTGACTATTCACCACCAGCAGCATGAAGAGCAAAACAGCCTTACAGCCATTAAAGGCTGTTGTCAAAGGGGTGCTGGCAGCATATTTAGGGGAAAAAATGGTTTATAGAGCAAAAAAAAACTTTTAGATTTTAGAACTGCTATAATGTGATCGCAATCACTTGTTTGACTACCTGTTCTGGACTCCATCTTTTAATTAATCATCATGGCAATTTTATCAAATCAGCACCTCATTCTCAGCCTTTTAGAGCTGAGTTTATCTTCAATTTCAGAGTTACAAAATGGTCCACCAACAGTCCTTGGATAAGATAGGGCTGTGAAAGCAGAAGTCCACCAACAGGTTTTCTGGGTTCTCCTCACCCCCAACAGTGTCTCCTGCCTCAGTGCTCAGGTCTTTGCACCTCTTCACCATCCCACCCCCCAACCCCTGCCCCTTCCCAACTATGACTTACTAAAATCGATAGGCCAGAAATGAATATCGGAGAAAAGCACAGCTGAAACCATTATCAGGATACAAATAAACATATTTTACTTGCTCAGAAAGGTCTCAGGAGCACCACTTACCCCTGAGAAAATACTTGCTGCCTCCTCCACCCTTTAGCATAATGTGGAGAATTTCTGTAGGGTTGAGAGGCATGTGTATATTGACTTCAGAGATAAGTGGGCTTGTGCTGGAGCTGCTCACTGTGGTGATGACTGTGCTGCAGAATGCACGTACTTTCTACCTCAAATTTCTGAGACCAAGCACTCAGAAATGAAGGTGGTTGCTAACATTTGGAAGGAAGTCTGAGCCCTTTCATGCATGTTCAGGCTGGTCAGAGGTCAGCATGGCTCCCCCACTTAGGGTTTTCTGGAATGCGGACTGCTCTGTGAACACGTCCCATTTTCTGCAACAATACCTTCTAAGCTCACTCTACAAAGAGTAAAATGTGTCATTAGGCTGTAAGTTCTGAGTGAAACCAATGAGTCAGAGCCCTCACCTCTGTGCATCATTTGTCCTTTCTTTAGATTCGAGCTCTTGCTGAATCCTCTCCAGCTCATTTTTCAACACCATGTTTTCTTCAGAAAGACTATTCAACTCAATTCTGCATTAAAAATAGAAAGGAGAAAGAAGAGTGGAAACTAAGGCACTAGTTATCATATGCAGCCTACATGAGTCTGGTCTTGAAGTCAGAAGTCATGGTAATCCTGCAGTTTACATTTCCTCTTTGCTAGACGATGGCACAGAGCACTTTTCCTTTTCCTTTCTCTCTATCCAATTACAACACAGTATGCATCAGTATGCATCTCCCCAAAGAAGCTACAGAAAACAAAGCTTTCTTAGCTTCCAAAATAGTTACATATTCAACAACTCACTAATGTATACAGTACCTTGGTCCCATTTACTTTGTGTTTATAGTTGATCTGTTCCTGCATCGTATAATCTCTAACTGAAATGTGCGTGTCTGTGGTTAGTACCAATGCATAATGTTGGGTGTGAGTCCTCAGGTTATTGCAGAACATATTCATCCTTCCACCAGTGAACTCCAGCATGGAGCTAAGAAACAAGGAATAAGAAGACCGAAACACATAGGCACATTTTCCTCTTTAGATATAGAGTACCCCAACCCCTATCCTACACTCTGAGGCCACAGCACTGGGAGGAGAAGCCTAGGAAGATGCCCACATCAATATATGGAGAGAAATCTGACATCAGGTAGATTCTTCCAGGGGGAAAAAAAGCAAGTATGAACAGCTACTACATGAACCAACTGTGCCTGAAGCCACCTTTGCTTTCTGATGACTCTTAGAGTCTCTGCTTAGGTAACATTATTGATGTATGGCAGATGAGCAATTTACCAATAAATATCACAAACGAAGCAGCTAAAGCCCATACTTGCTGCCCAGAGAATTTATTCTTTTTTTGTAATATGTTTGTATTGATTTTTTTTTTGGAGAAAGAGGAAGGGAGAGAGAGAGAGAAACATCAATGTGAGAGAGAAACATTGATCGGCCGCCCCCTGTACGCCCCCCACCAGGGACTGAGACTGCAACCCAGGCATGCATACTGACCTGGAATCAAACTGGGACCTCTCATCCATGGGATGATGCTCAATCCTCTGAGCCACACTGGCTGGGCAAGATACATTTTTTTTTTAAATCCTCACCTTAGGTTATGTTTTTTTAAATGTTTTTACTGATTATACATAGAGAGAGAGAGATGGAGAGGGAGAGAGAAACATCGATGAGAGAAACATTGATCAGCTGCCTCCTGTATGCCTCCTACTAGAGATCAAGCCCACAGCCTGGACATGTGCCCTGGCCAGAAATCAAACTAGTGACCTCTTGGTGCATGGGATGACACTCAACCAACTGAGCCACACAGGCCAGGGCCGGAGAATTTATTTGTAATACATGTTGGTCTGGCTGACATTTATTATCCCCAGTAGGTCTCTATCTAGCATTAGCTTATAATGTTTTCAGACTAAAAATACTCAAAGCCACATGATCTCATTAATGTTTCTTTTATGTATCATCGCTATAATATCAAGTATTAGTTCATTTTTCATAGCATAAGTATGACTTCATTTTATCTCATGAGACACTAAAGAGAAGAATAAAAAATAGAAGTCACTGGAATTTTAAAAGCAGCAAAAGTTTTCAAGCAGGGGAGTAAAACAAATCAGATCTATATTTTGAAACTGTCATTCTGGCTCCAGGATGGAAAACAAATGGATTCAAGGCAGGCATATGTGTATAGGGGTGTGGTAAGGGGAGGGGATTGGAAAACAGGGCATCTACTTTCAGCTTTCTGGACATCAGATAAACTGATGGTTGTCCCACCCCATCCCCAACACACTCACCAAAAAACTAGAGACTGTGTTAAGCTGATCATACAATGTATGATTATTCTCACTGAAGGTAATGCATACCACCAAGGGCTCCCAAACAAAATAAAAACCTGGAAGCTGAAACCAAAGCTGTGAGCATTAAGTAACACAAAGATGGGGTTACCCCAAGGCCAATGTCTATGTCAGCAGCACGGACACCTGCACAGTGACACCTACAGTAAGCCAGTACCCTGGAAGGAGATTAACATGGTCCCAGATTAGTAGGTCCCGAATTGTTGGCAAAAGCAATATACATCCTTTCTGCAGAAAGCATCCTCTAATACAGCTCCCAAGATTTCCAGAGATTAACATCACATAAACATGAGCTCACGATCAAAGATCACTACAACATACATGGAAAAAAGCCACCTATAAGAGTCAGCAGAAGCAAAAACAACAGAATTAGATCCCGCAGAAACCTCGGATATTGGAATTATCACACACAAACTAAAGATAAACATTATGGAATGTTTATATAAGTAAAAGATAGATATTTTAAAAAGTCAATGTTAAAATAAACACTGAATGGGTTAAATGACAGATTAGACACAATGAAGAAAGACTTACTAACTTGAAACACAGAGATATGAAAAAAAGTACCCAGAATGTGATAGAGAAAACAGGATGGAAGATACAAAAAAAGAGGTTAAGAAATGTAAGAAAACTTAAAAGATCTAGCATCATACTTTTAATTTAAGAGGGTGAGAGGAGAGGCAAGAATAATGGCTGAGAGTTTTTGATAAGACACAAATCTATACATTTAATAGGCATAATATTCTAAGTAAGATAAGTTAAAAGAATGGTTCTCAAGCTGTGGGTCGCAACCCCTTTGGGGGTCGAACGACCCTTTCACAGGGGTCGCCTAAGACCATCAAAAAACACGTTTCCGATGGTGATTCATATCAGTAGTAAAATTAGTTATGAAGTAGCAATGAAAATAATTTTATGGTTGGGAGTCACCACAACATGAGGAACTGTATTAAAGGGTCATGGCATTAGGAAGGTTGAGAACCACTGAGTTAAAAGGAAACCACATCTATTCCCTATTGCCCAACAATTCCATTCTTAGGTACATCCCAACATAAATGCACAAAAAGACATGTACAAGAACTTTGTCAGCAGTACTATTTGTGATAGCCAAACACTAGAAACTACTCAAATACCCATCAACAAGTGGATGAATACATGTGGTTAATTCACAAAACAAACAGACTACTCCATAGCAAAGCAAATGCATGAATTATAAGTATAAGCAACAACATGGATGAATCTCACAAACATATGTTGAGCAAAGACAGCCAGACACAAACGAGTACACTGAGTGATTCATTTACATAAAGTACAAAAATTGGCAAAATTAATCTATGCTATTAGAAGTTAGGATAGTGTTGCCCCTGGGGGACTTTGGGAAGTTCTATTTCTTGTTCTGGGCACTGGTAACACAAATGTGTTCAATTTGTTGACAATTCTTCTAATTGTACACATAAGTGTAATTTTTTGTGTATAAAATAAAAAGTTAAAAATATACACCTAAACACATTAAAGAAAAACCATAAAATATAGAAATGTTAAAAGCAGCCAGAGCACACAACTCAGATTACCTAGTATGGTAGGCAGAATAATGGAATCTAAAAGATGTCCATGTCCTAGTTCCCAGGACCTGTGAATGTTCTATTACTTGGCAAAGAGGAATTAATGTTGCTAATTAGTTGACTTTAGACAGGGAGAGGATCCTGAATTATCCAGATGGGCTCAATATAATCACAGGTCCTGAAATTTGGATGAGAGAGGCATAAGAGCTGGTGTTAGGGTGATGTGATATAAGGAGGACCCTGCCAGTCATTGCTGACTTTACAGATGAAAGGGGGCCAGAAACCAAAAAATGAGAGCAGTCTGTAAGAAACAACAGATTCTGCTCCAGAGCCATCAGAAAGGAAGGCAGCACTGCCAGCACCTTAATTTTAGTTCAATCATTACCCATTTTAGACTTCTAACCTCTGAAATTGTAAAATAATAAATTGTGTTGTTTTAAGACTCTAATTTTGTGGTGACTTGTTATAGCAGCAACTGGAAACTAATATACATAAAAAGGGATAGCAATTAGACACAACATAAACTATTTAATGCCAATAGAGGAATCTCGAAGATACTGCACATGTACAGCAGAGAGTCCTTTAACTGTTAACCTAGATTTGTGTTCCTAGGAATACTCTCTTTCAAAAATAGACAGATATTTGAGACATTTTCAGACAAACAAAAACAAGGTGAATTTACTTCCATGTGAGTCTCATTAAAAGAACTTTCAGAGGTTATACATCAGAAAAAAAGAAAATGGTCCTCTAAAGAAGGCATAAGATACAAAAAGAAATAACAGCCTCCTATGTGACAAACTGAGGAGCAAACAGTAATCTCACCTAAATACCCAAAATACCTGGTCTTGATTCTTTAAAAATTTTAATGTCCAAATGCCTAGAAATACATAAACTACCAAAGCTGACTCATGAAAAAACATAAAATCTGAACAGACTTGTAACTGGTAAGGAGATTTAATCATCATCAAACACCTCATTACAAGGAAAAGCCCAGGAACAGATGAATTCTCTGGTGAATTTTACCAAACATTTAAAGAATTAATACAAACCCGGCCAGTGTGGCTTAGTGTATTGAGTGTTGTCCCTAGACTGAGAGGTCCTGGTTTGATTCCCAGTCAGGGCACATGCCCAGGTTTGGGGCTTAATCCCCAGTACGGAGTGTGCAGGAGGCTGAGTTGATGTTTCTAGCTCTCTCTCTCTCTCTAAAAAAAAAACAATAAAAACATATTTATTTATTTACTTATTTATTTTTTCTTTTGTCGTACATGCCCCTAGCAGGAACTGAACCCGGGTCTCTCTGGTCCACAGGCTGACGCTCAACTGCCGAGCCAAACTGGCCAGGGTAATAAAAACATATTAAAAAAAAAATTAATACCAATACTTCTCAAATTCTTCCCAAATACTGTGAGAAACACACATCGACTGGTTGCCTTCCACGCAACCTGACCAAGGCTGGGACGAACCGCAACTGAGGTACGTGCACTTGACCTAAATCAAACCTGCGACTCTGGTCTGAGGGTCGATGCTCTAACCATTGAGCCAAACCAGCCAGGGTAATGCATTTCTTTTTAATACTGGGACATGCAGGAAGCCTGGTGCTTATCAATGGGATGAAAGTCCCAACTGCAATCCCTAACTGTGCTGGCAGATATAAGATGCCCAGTAAACAGTTAAATAGGTGAAGACCCTGATGAGAATTGAACTGTGACTAGTTGTGGGGCCAACAGGATGGAGAATGCAACACATCAGAAGCAGAAAGAGAATAAGGGCAGCCTTCCAGGACTTGGGTGAGTGGCAGACCACTAAGGGCTGGGGTGGAGAATTTGAATAGCATAAGTCTGCACACACACTTATAACCACCCCCATCAGCACCTGTGAGCTGGTCAGGCGGAAAGGCATATGTATAGTTAGTGAGAGAGGTTAGAGGGTATAACTTGATATTCTGAAGAGTTTCAAAGGGACAGCAGAGTGGGACTCTAGGCGATGGGCTGCTTCTGTACCTGAGTTCCCTGCATGCAACTGTGGACTCATGCATGGAGCAAGTCCCCAAGGTGCTCACGCTGGGCCCATGACCAGCCTGTTTCTGAGGGGTCTGCTATGAAATAGCTGTGATTGTAAGCATATGTTCATACATTAGTGTCATGCTCTATGCCCTCTCTGAGGTACAGCACCAACTCTCTTTACGGATAAGAAAATTTAGAAGTCAGGCCACTACAAAAAGGTCCCATATTGTTTGGAAACACCCACATAAGAGGCAGGAGCATGAACCAATGCTTAGATGGCAGTAAACAGCCCTTCAGAACAGGCACCTCCTACTGGAGCAAGGAGGCCTGGGAACAAGTGTCCAAGGACTTTTAGCTATGCTTGGGGTGGGGCTCAAGGAGCTCCTCCTGGCCTTTTTCTCACTGTGCTGCAGCCCACACTCTAGGGTGCTCTCATTGCACTGGGCCTGCTCCTCGGAGGCCTGCTTCAGGTTCCCTGCGGGGGTTGGCTCCCTGCTCAGGTTCTCAGTTTTGTTGCCTCTTAGTTCCCCACCAGCCCACCCTCTGGAACTCTGTGGACAAGGCATCTTCCTCTGCTCCCAAGAGCAGCCCCCAGGCTTCAGGTTAGCTCAGGATAGCTGTGCCATTAGCAGAAGGCACTATGTCCTCCAGAACCACTCCCCTGTGGTAGCAGAAGCCACCTTTCTGGGGTCGAGCACACCCCAGCTGTGCTTTCTGAGGCCTTGGCAGCCCTGGGAGAATCGAATTGCAGCCAAGGTGAGGGCTACATGAGGCACTAAGCCTGGGACAGGTGTGTTCTCTGCTTCTGCCTAATGAAGGCCTGAGCCAGATGAGGCTCTACTGCCAGCCTTCAGAGGGACCATGAATAGCAGGAGTTCCTCCCAATAAAGGCCTGCAGGTCTTGAGATGCTAGGGATGGGCAAGAGGGCACCACCCTGCCCTGTTTCTCTGCTGCCTTATCACACAGCTCTTGGGTTTCAGAGAAAATAACAAAGCTCAGGGCAAGCACAGGACTTAAAAATGATTTATCATCTCTAGGAGAGTGTTAGTCAGTTCCTGCAAGTGTCATCTGGAGTGGAGGGAGGAAAGAAGCATAGGCACAGATTACACTTAGCACCTCTCTGTGCTTAGGCCGCCCCCAATCCTCATGACAAATGGGGAGAGCCCACCTCACCCAAGTCAGAGGGCGTGAACTTCATTTGACATCCTGCATTCAGTATGCTGATTAGGGCCATGTCCACTTTGCAACAACATTGGAACCCAAATAGGCCCACACAGAACCCCTCCATGAGGATGGCAGGTTGTGGCAGGCATCGGTGAGCCATCCGCTCAACTCTAGGACAACATGTGTGGGGTATGACTACCCTCTCCTGAGCTGGGGCAGATCCAAGACTCCACACGGGACAGGGAGGGACTGGCTGACTAGTACTGAGCCTACAATAACTAGTTACTCACTCTAAGTCTATGACACTGTAAGACACAAAAAACCACTTTCCAGTTTTCCAAATAAACCCTTTCTCTGCTTTGCTCATATATTTTAGCCTTTTCAAGAACTTTACTAACGCAAATTAATGGTTCTTCCCATTGTTTTATGGCTTTTAGATACACCATGTCCTAAAAAATTAGAGCAAGATATTAAATGATGAAGAACATATTGCCCTTTGCTATACTAGACATGTCTGAGGCAAAAGGTAAAAAACATTGAGTTAAAATTCTACAAAGTACATTGTTTCATGGCCCAAGCTCTGGTTAATACATATTTTTAATTTAAAGTAAAAATTCTTATACAATGACCTGTTCTTTCAGTGCTCACCCATCGGCCTCTGAGAAAAAAAACACCTGGTTAATAGGTATTTTCATTCTGAGCAGTTTGCATAATTCAGTTTTAAATTTTGGTTCTTGGCAAGAAATCCTAGACATAAATCCTGAAAGGACATGGTGCTGGACCTGAACTGCTGTAGCTCATGCTGATGCCTCTGGTGCAGCTTCTCCTCCAGTTGATCCTTCTCCTGGGCCAGTCGCTGAGCCAGGCCAGACAGTGCCTGAGTGTAGCACTGCTCCATCTCCACCCTCTTTAGCTCAGGGCCATGTGTTGCACTCTGGAGCTGGTCTTGCAGGCCTTGGATGATCTCTTGAGATTTCATGCGGAGTGTCTCCAGGTTGGCTTTCTGATCCTCCAGCACACTGACCTCAAGTTTGAAAGCCTTCTCAATTTCCTTTCTCTTCTTTGCAAAGTCCTTTTTCATCATCTCAATTTCTCTTTCATAGTAAGTTACCTGAGAAGAGAAATATGAGCAACATCAATCAGGAGGTCCCCCAAATGACTTACTAATAATATAACACAGAAATATGAGGCTACCAAGTGGCATAGTCAGAGTGGATAGCCTAGACCTGATGAGGTACAGGGGCAGCATGCCAACAATGTCTAAGGCTCCCCAAGAGCCCAGGTAGCCACAGGCTTTTCCCCCCCCAAACCTTCCATCAGCCTCATGAGGCATATCCAGCAGGTGAGGAAGGGAAGCTGGAGGCCAGCTGGGCCAGGTGCCTGGCCAGGAAGCATGAGGAGGGCTAAGGATGTGACTACACTGAGAGAACAGCCTCCTTCATGAGGTTGACAGGGCAGCTCTGAACTCCCTAGAGGCTCCGGTGGGAAGGAATATGCTCCAACCATGGGCAAGGTTACTATAGCAGCTACCAGCTAATACATCTAGGGAACCAATGGGCATAACTGCAAGACAGAGGTGGCCCTGCCTCACTGCTATTCAGACCCAGACATCTGACCCCTGATAATAAGCCATGGACACTGTCCCTTAACAAAACCCACTGCAATCTAATAACAGAGCAGGAGACACATTCATCTGAGAATACATAATTAGCCAGGACATGAATCCACAAAGAACCCCATCAAGTGTAAGTCCCAGGGTTATTTTAGTTTAGAACAAAGCCAGGAGCTGTGATTCCCTGTTGGCAGAGCAAGCAAGGAGGTCTGGCTTCAGCAATACACTTGTGACACTCCAGACACACATAACTCCATTTCCTCCCACTATTATTTCTTTTTTTAAAAAATATTTTCATTGATTTTTTTAGAGAGAAAAGAAGGGAGAGAGAGAAACATCGATGTGAGAAAGAAACATCAATTGGCTGTCTCCTGCACACCCCCTAATACGGATCGAGCCTGCAGCCCGGGCATGTGCCCTGACTGGGAGTCAAATTGGGACCTCTCAGTCCATGGGATGATGCTCAATATACCAGCCAGCAAATTAATTATTTCTTATATCCCACCTTACTCCCTCCAAAGAAGGCTTGAGGTTGAATGTTAATTTTATTTCCCTTTCCCTACAAACTTTCCTCCCCTGAACAGGCTTACTACAAAGCAGGGAATCCGTGGGCAAACATGTGCATGCAGAACTGTTAGCATATTGAATGAAGCTTTCGGGCATGCAGAGGAAGCATCCAAATCTCCCCACGGCTGCCTTCATTTCCCCTGACCTTGGTCTCCATCTGGATCTTGAGGTCTTGGTAATGTTCTTTCACCTGCTCCATCATTATCTCCATTTCTATACTCACTGGAGTGGAATCGCCAAGGAAGGGGATGGTGCCTACAAACAAGGACATTTCTGTTTATATTCTGCCTAGGGTGCCATGGGGTCTGTTCCACACCCTCCCATTTGAACTTTGGATGGCACTTAGTATTTACCCCAGATTTCCTCCACCACCCAGAACAATGCACAACCTTCTACAGGTACTTTCTGTAAGAGGAACTTGGTGATGGCGGTGAGGGGTGGCCCTTGCAGGTTTCCATAAATGGTCTGTTATGCCCCATTCTCAAAGTTGGAGCTCTTTAGAAATCAACATTTTGAGTCTTTGCCAGAACACAGATTGCTCTAAGATATAACTAGGAGACTCCATGCAAGATTTTTCAGGTCCTTTAATTCCCTAAAAGATGCTGTACATGGTGCAGTTAATGCACCCTAAATTCTGGTCCCTGACCCAGGTACACAGAAAAACCATGAAGACAGAAAAATGTGTGATATGTTGTACAGACATGCCTCTGTGACAGTCTGTGCTTTATCATGGGGCATATACATCATACAAATAATGTGGGATTTCAAAAAAGAAGTCAGATATGGAGTGAATTACAAGTGGAATGAAAGTTCTGAAAGATCACAAGAAGTGACATATTGTTCCAGAAGATCCTTCTCACTGACAATGTCAGACATCTGGGCAGCTCATTTTGATGAGGCACCCATAGGTCCACAGGTTTCGCCAGCTCTCCCGGAGAGCCAGGCATCCCCAACATTGTATATGTTGTAGGATACACCAAAGGGCTCACTCAGAATGTGGGTATTGGCCCTGTTAGGGTTTCATCTGTGTTGGTCCAGGAGTCAGAAAAGTGAGAGGAAATGACAGATTCCCTAATCTTATCATCTTCCATTTCCCAAATTATTTTCCATGAAAAAAGTGTCAGACTCAGAGACACTGGGACTGAGAGAAGTAAGGATGAGCTCTTCATGAAAGAAGGCATTCTATTGCCCTGACAACCAGAAGCTGTCATCTGGGTCTGGCCAATGAGCATAGGTAAATGGACACCCATCAGAGGTGGCTCCAGCTGAATACACTGATGGCTTGGCCACCAAAATCCACATGGCCTCTTCCTCTGTAACTCTGCTATGGCAATGGTCCCCTATGGCAGCAGACAGACCTTTCCTCTTTTGATGGGGTCAGAGGAACCTCTACAGTCAGATGGAGGGGTGAAAGGAAAGAAAAAAAGACTCTAACTAGGAGACTGCTTTAGTTTTATCAGTGATAAAATATGGGGCTGCTTCTGGTGCTACAGCCTGAGAACATCTAAATAAGGACAACCTTGGGTATAGAACCCCAGCTCTGCCATGCTCTAATCTACAGGTCCTGACAAGAGTCACACACCCTGTGCAACTCAGGCTCCTCCAGGGACAAAGGAGGTAGCAAATGCTCCCTTCCCTGTGGCCAGGCTGCCCACTTGGCCGCACATCACAACTTACCTGGAGATCTGGAACATCTAATGAGCTGGGCACACCCCTAAACCTCCCAGCTGAGGGCAATGTGGGTCTCGGGAGCCATCAGATTCCACTAAAGCAGCCCCAGGTGAGGTTTCTTCAGAAAGTTATGCCCACTTGCACAGAAAATCTGCGTGGTTCGTGTGAAGGTTCCCACATTGGCTCTCTTGAGCACACTTTTTTCTGTTTTATTTTATTTTATTTTTTCTGTTTTATTAAGTAAATTTTCCCCAAGCAATGTGGGAAACTCTGAGTTCTCTCAGTACTACAGATGGGAGCAGATGTTCTCTGAAGAGCTACATGATCACTGTTTGGTCAATGGAAGCAATCAGGCTAATGGAGCAGTCCCTGTGGTTCTCATGACTCCCATCAGCGGCAGCAGGCATGAAGCCATGTATGTCATGTGAACCCCACCATGTCTGCCCTGTACAGTTGCCAGGAAGGGTAGTAACGAGCTTAAACACTGTCCTCCTAAAAGACTACCTAAACCAAAAGAATAGCTCCAGCATCTAAAACCATCCCCCACTCCTGGTCTTTACAAGGAACCAAAAACACTTAAAAAACACAGGGCCTCAGGACCACTCAGAGCCTGGAGCTTATCCCAAGTCTATGGGCTGAGTTAGGAAGCATGAAGCCCAGGTCTTTCTCAATTTACACCTTCAGTATGCACTATGTTGAGCAATTGGGGGCACTTCCTGGTGCCACAAATCCATCTTGGAGTGTAACAGGGAATAAAAACTTTATAGTACTCTGACTAATCATGAAATGGAATTAGAATAAAATGTACAAACAATAAAAGGAACTCACATACTGACAGTTTCCTTATAAGCGTGTTACAGGCATCAGCAGTTCCAATTCTTGCTGGACAAGAAATGACCTTGGCCATGACTTCAGTTGACGCAGATTGCCCAACTGCAAGAATTTGACTAGCACTGAGCAGTTCCAGTATGCTGACATTAAAGATCCATACGGGGACCAACAAGTATACTGCCTACATGTTCACATACCCTTCCCCTAATATCTTTGTTTTGCTTTCCCTCTCCCTCCCTATAAAAACCCCTGCCTGCACTGAGATACTAAGATAGGTTTTGGGACAAGAGTCCCCCATCTTCTCAAGTGAATAAACCTCCTTCCTATTTCACCAGCATCTGTCTAATGAGTTTGGCTTTTGTGGCAGCAGGCAGCCGACCTTGGATTTGGTTTCAAGAACTTGAGGGTGATGCTATCCACATAACCCAGGTAGTAAACACCAAGTCTGGTCTATGTCCGTCCAATGAGGCCTCTGTGTATACAGGGAGTCCCTGACCCATTTTCACAATTTGTGCCTTCCCTTTGTAAGAGCTGTCATAGACCAATGACAAACCCCTTGCTCAACTCCAGCACCACTGCTTCCCTTCTCTAGATGACCATCTCTGTGTGTCTGTCCCATGCTGAACACTCACCTGGATCCCCTGGAGAGGACCTCATAATACTGGAGAGTCACCCTGGGTACCTCTCATAATACTGGAGTCACTTGGATGCACCTACCTTACGGTAATGGCAAAGTCATCCTAACCTTCACCATTTCTACTCAAATGATAACACCCTCACCCTCTTCGACATCGCTCTAGGCTCTGGGTATTGTGTCAACTTCTGGCCTTGGGTTACAGGCCCTTTTCCCACATGTGGCAGTAGAGGGGCTTGTGACCACCTGAAGGCTGGGCTAGGCCATGATGTGCTGGAAGCCAGCCTACCCACCACTGTGCTCCCTGGACCCAAAGGCAGCCTGTTCAACAGAGGTAGGTAGAAACCCATTGCCACCAGCCCCACTGCCCCCAACAGGAGCACATCACTGCCACCTCCCAAATTGGCTCCTACCTGCTCGGCCATGTATAGGGAGCAGCGGTCCATTTGGCTGTACATGGGGCTGGCCACGCCAATTCTGAGGCAACTGTGCCTGCAGACCCTCCACTGCAGCCTGTAGCTCATCATTGCGGTCCTGCAGGTCCTGTGGGGGAAGAGCCAGACACTGCTTCCAGATAATGCAGCCACTCAGTCCAAGAAGCCACTGGCATGGACACTTGGTCACCCAGGAAGCAGCTAAGCCCAGTGCCTGGGGAAGACCTGACCTGCCCACAGACAGGCAAAGGTGTTAAGGATTGGTCTGTGTCTCAGTCCATTTGGGACGCTATAACAAAAATACTACACTGGGGACATATAAACAACAGAAATTTAGCTCTTGATGTTTTGGTGTCCTTTTTTATTTTATTATTTTATTTAATCCTCACCCGAGGACATGCTTAGAGAGAGGAAGAGGGAGAGAGAGAGAGAAACATCGATGTGAGAGGGAAACATTAACTGGCTGCCTTCTGTACGTGCCCTTGACAGGGAATTGAACCAGACCTTTCAGTGCATAGGATGACACTCAACTAACTGAGGCACTCTGGCCAGGCTAGTTCCCAAGATTTTGGAGGGTAGAAGTGATAAAAGGGATGGGAGAGCAATCTGAGACCCCTTTTAAAAAAATCCTCCCCCTAGGATATGGTTTTTATTGATTTTAAAGAGAGAGAGAGAGAGAGAGAGAGAGAGAGAGAGAGAGAGAAACATTGATGTGAAAGAAAAACATAGATTAGTTGCTTCCAGTATGGGCCCCAACTGGGAATTGTACAGGATGATGTTCCAACGAACTGAGCCACCCAGCCAGGTGAGTCCCTTTTATAAAGTACTAATACACTTTACTGGGCTTACCCTCATGATCTCCCAAAGGCCCCAACTCCTAACACTATCACAGTGGGGGAATAGGCTTCAACATATGAATTTGGAGGAACACAAAATGAGAAATACACAAAATGAGAAAATTTCTATTAAAAAGGGGGTAGGGCTGTATTCTTCAATAATAACCATGTCAAAGACAAAGAAAGGCTCTGGGAATGTGCAATAGACTGAATGTGTCCCCTCAAATTCATATGTTAATCTTAATGTCCTATGTGATGATGATATTGGAGGTGGGACCTTTGAGAGGTGATTAGATCATGAGGATGAAGGCCTCATGAAGAGCATTAATGCTCTTATAAAACACACTCCAAAGGGCTCCTTCATGCCTTTCTGTCATATGAGGACACTGAGAAGACAGCTAGCCATCTGCTACCAAAAAGAGAGCTCTCACCAGACACTGAATCTGCTGGCAACTTGATCTTGGACTTCTCGGGCCCTAGAACTGTGGGAGCTAAATATATGTTATTTACCCCCTCCCCCCTTCTATGGTATCATTGTTGTAGCAGCCTGAATAGACCAAGACAGATAGTTTCAGATTAAAGGATGTTAAACAGATGTGACAACTAAAGGTAATACCTGATCCAAACTGGACCTTGTATTGGAGGGGAAATGTTCCAAAGGACATTGCTAGGTTAACTAATGAAATTGAAATATGATGTATCAGTGGAAATCATGAAATGAGTAAATGTGCCATAGTTACTAGAAATATTCTCATTTAGCAGGGTGTTAGAAAGTTGGCTCTCCAGGAAGAAAAGACCAGATTTGTAGCTTCTGCATACTTCCACGGTCCCACCATAGCCTATTTCAAGCTATCAAAAGTTTAACAAGAAGCTAGCAAAATTCCTGAACATTTAGCAATCAACTCTGGTGCACTTGCACACCACTGTGAAGTTATAGGATTAAATCTGTTTTTAGGGAATGCACACTGACCTGTTTAGCGGCGAGGGCCATGATGCATGTAACTTACACTCAGATGTTCAGAAAATAACTATGTAGATACATTCACATCCAGTTGGGTGTGTGTGTGCGCGTGCGCACACACACACACACACACACTGAGGAAGTACACAATGACACAGCAAACAGGGCAAAATGTAAACAACAGGTGAATCTGGGCAAAGGGTAATCCAGCTATTACCTGCACTACTTTTACTTTTGTAATTTTATGTATTTCAAATAAGTTTTTTAATGCTCTAAATATTAATTTGAAATGCCAAAAATAGAGATAAAATTTCTACACAAATAGATTAGCACTAAAATGTAAAATATTTCTGCTGATGTTTCAAAAAGTAAAATTTCAAGAACCAAAAGTGAAGTGAGTAGCAGTTATTTAAGTAAGAGAGTCATACTAAAGAAAGGTAGGGATGTCCGGCTGGTGTGGCTCGGTGGTTGAGTGTTGACCCATGCACCAAGAGGTCACTGGTTCGATTCCTGGTCAGGACACATACCCAGGTTGTGGGCCTGATTCCAGTGGGGGTGGGGGGGCATGCAGGAGGCAGCCCATCGATGTTCTCTCTCTCTCATCGATGTTTCTATCTCTTTCTCCCTTTCACTTCCTCGTTCTCTCTAAAAAATCAATAAAGGGGGAGGGTTGGCGAGGAAGAGATAAACCACAGAAGTAACATGCATATATGCATGTCCAATAAACATAGACAACAAAGCTGGGAATTGGGCGGGGGAGGGGAAGAGGAGGAGGATGTGTCAATGGGGGAAAAATGAGAAACATCTGTAACAAAAACAAATTCATAAATAAAAAGTTAAAAATATAATAAATAAATAAATGAATAATTTTTAAAAATCTATTAAAATTTTTTTTTTTTAAAAAAAAGAGTAAGAAAGGTAGGGCTTATACTTGTTTGAAAAATCCAGTGAACTAAAGAGGTGATTTTCAACAGGTGTGCTGGAATAATTTTTAAAACATGCAATACCTGACTATTTAGTTAGGGGTACTGACCTCTTTTCCTTTAGATTGTCAAATAAAAAAATGACAACAGCTGACACAACAATAGCTGTCTGATGTAAATGAATCAAAATTATACCTAGTTTTTTGTCAGATCAACAAAAAAAATTTTTTTTGGTGCACTGCAGTATTTTAGTAATTAATTTATATATGCCAGAAGATGAAAAAGACAGAAAATTGCTGCACTAAAGTAACATATGAATTGATGGTTACTTACAGGTTCTATGTCTTTGCAACAAGCTTAAAGGGAGGAAGAAAACACAGCATGGAACTACAATTCTAGCAGAAAATTGTGTGGCACATCCTACCTGCATGACAACCCCACACCCTACACAACAATCTAGTTCGGGGGGAGGGTTACACAGGTGACCACACACAGGATTTCAAAAGGGCACCCAGGATTCAGGGTTTATAGTGGAGGAGAGAACATGGGGCAGGAAACAGCAGATCATGTCACACTCCGGAACAGCACAGCTCACCTTTATTTTCTGGTATTGCCAAAGCAATATACAGCAGGAACAAAAGTTAATTCTTACTTTAATTTGGAGGGAAACGGTTAAGCAGTGAGTTAATAATAGACCCTTAATATATAACAACAATGTTTTATCTGTTGGGGTCCTCAATCATTTTAAGTGTAACAGGGTCAGCAACACTGACATTGTTCACCATCTCTGCCTTGCTCTGCACTGTGGTGTCTCCAATTAAATGGAGTAACACTGGTAGGTTTGGCCCCAGGACATCTAAACACTCAACAACAGAAAACATGAAGCCTTACACAGTGCCTGGAAACACAGAGGGGTCTTCAGAATCGGTGCTGCTCTAATGACTTTGGCCAGTCCATGTGGGATAAACACAGGTTCTGAGCAGGCAATTCCTGTTCCATCTCATAGGAGAACATAATGCTTGGAGGACCCTGTAGGACGGTCAGCCAAATGCAGGCTCTACCTGCTCTGCTTGGTGAAGGATGTTCCTGCCACCCAATGATGGACCATCCTTCATGTGGAGGTCAGGACTGTGGCCTGCCAAGAATGCTAGGCCACTCCCCGGCAGGAGGGGTAGGAAAGGAGCCTGCATACCACCACCCAGGTCTGAGCCAGACAGATGCTGATGACTTGCAGGGCTAGCCTATATCATTGGCTCTAGCACCCCATTCTTTGCAGGAATAGCCTGGATATGATACCACAGCTTTCTGACACAGGAGGTCTCTGAAGGGTCAAGCTCTTAGAAAGAATCACCCCTGCTGTGGAATGGGTTGGAGAGGGCCCAATGCATTAAAGACAAAAGTGATGGCCTGGTCCAAGACAAAGGAAATGCTAAGGCTCCAGATGGTAAAGGGGCTGGGTCAGGCACGTACCCTGCATTTGAGCTCGTACTCCTTCAGGACCTCCTTGAACTGCTCCTCCTTGGCCAAGAGTTCTGTGTTCTGTGGCTCCAGCTGAAGGTCACACCAGTAAAGGAAAATTAAATACAGACCTCAGGTCAGGTAGAGTGCAGGCTGTCACACCCTCATGCTCTTTACACAAAGCTCAGCATTTCCAGGTACAGCCTTCCAGTCCTTTCCTCCTCCTTCCCTCCCCTCCCCTTATTTAAAAGGTCTCAGGGCAGTAAAATGTTCCTGCCTTGATCCCCTGAAACACTCCCTGTCTGAACCCTTCTCCAGTGCAGCAACTCATCTCCCCATCTGTTCCCCAGGTGATGGGCAGGGCCTGGTGGTGCGGGGCATCTAATTGTAGGTACCAAACTCTAACTTCTCCTCCATGCCCCTCATCACTGAGAACCTGTCATTGGGGTTTTTGGTGCCAGCTAACCCTGGTCTTGTCATTAAAAGGCCAACATGCAAGTCATCACTGAGGCATATTGTCATCCCTGCATTGGCCTGAAGGTGAGAAAAACAGGGAAAGTCACTTTTCTCTCCAAAGTTTAACAGAAAAAAACTAAATTCAGCCACCTGGGCATTCTTTTTCAAGACCCTGATACTTTTTACCTAGCACCACAGGCTCCTCTCTCAAAACTAAGATTCAGCAAAAGGACTTGCCTTGTCTTTTAACACAAATTCCAGGTCATTCTGCAGTTTCAGGACCAGCTTCTCTGATTCCGAAAGTTTTTCCACAACTTCAACAATCTCCTTCTGTAATCGACTGTTTTCCTACAAGACACAGGCTAGTGATTTGCCAGACTTTGAGAGTAGAGGAAGGAGCTGTTGGCAGGTCTGTTCTCTCTGAGTGAAAGGCTTACTCCCAGTGGCACACATAATCAGAGAAGAAACCTCATGGTACCTGGTACTCACTGCCCTGTCTCTGGGGCCAATTCAGAGCCACCCAGAGATAGACCCCATGAAGTCCTCACCAATGCTTATTGCTTTTCCCATTACCTCTGCTTCTCCCATTCCAAGTGCTCAGAAGGTCATGAGTATAACAAGAAAAGGCTAGTGGCAAGCCCTTCTGAGCTGTTTTCTAAATGAAGAATTTGAAACTGTACCATTACAGCTCAGATGTCCACAGGGAAGGAAGGCAGCATTATCAGATACAGAAAACCAGTAAGAGAGGTGAGGACACAGCATGGTGGAGAGCCCAAGCAAGCAGAGAAGGCAGGCCCTATGGACACTGCTGTCAGAGGTACCTGGGGTGCCAGACTTCTCCTCCGAGAGACAGAGACTGAGGGAAGCAGGCAAATGTGGAAAGAATCCACAGGCTCTGAATTAGGAGAGAGAGAGAAAGGCAGGAGCACAGGAGGGGACAGGGGACATCTCACTGAACCCAAATGCAGGATGGTTGTGGGTTGAGAGATACTCACCAAAGCCCAGAAAACACATCTGCCCCAGGCTGTACCCAGGGGCAACAGGTGGGCTTTAGGTTTGTTGATTCCACAGGTGTTCTGACCTCCAAGGATATAGCATAACTGGCTGCTGACCCTTCCTATCCTTGGTCCACAGACCCAGAGAACAGAGCAAGAGTTCTACAGGTCCCCACCTGTCCTGCTGCCACCATAACTAGAGAGCATGGAGGGGCAAAGCCAATCCTGGAGAAACCAGGACCCTTTCTGTTCTGGCTGAGAAGTGTGCTATCTCTATGGCTGCAGAAAGTGTTTCCTAGTTTGAAATCCTAGAGATTTCCCTCACACAGAGATGCAAATTTCTTAAGGTCACGGGAGGTGTTGAACCCTAGACTAGGAAAATGTGGGGTATGGGAAGAGGGACCTTCAGGCAACCTCATTTCTTTCTGGGTGGGGTGACCTGGGGAGCCACACTCCCTTCATTCCCCCATAACTTCCCCGTCCCTACCTACCTTCAGAGCCAGGGTCAGCTTCTCTCGGAGGCTGGACTCCTCAGCCTGCATGCATTCCAGGTCCTTCTCCAGCATGACCCTCTGCCTGTAGGCCTGTTCCCAGAATAGCTCATGCTCCATCTCCACCTCAGACCGAAGGAGAGTCAGCCTTTCTCTGTATTCCTGCTCCAGGTGTCTGTAAGGCACACACCAGCAAATCACACTGGGCTTCCAAGGATGCTTCCCAGGCTTACCTGTCCCTGCTTCTCCAGGAACAACTTTCCAGACAACAAGACCTCTTCCTTCCCTGGAATTCCCCTTCATGGAGCTCTTGGTCACACTACCTTGTACTCAATAGTTCTTCCTTGAGAGATGGGGTCACCATTGCTTAGCTAAACTGAATGTACTGTGAGGCCAGGGGTCTCTCCTTTAAATCTTATCCCTGGGGCTTGATGGTGAATATCCCATCTCAGAGTTGGAATGCAATTGTTTAAAAAGGAGTTTTCTTCTTGAGAAACACTGAGGGCTGAGGAGCTGGCAGTGCTGCACAGAGAGGAAGGTCATGTGGAAGCTAGACTTCTGCAGGGTTTAAGGAGGCTCCTGTGGACCCCTCACCTCCCTGGGTCCCAAAGAGGCAGCAACCTATGGTCTCAGTGGCACCAAATGGGATGGCTAGTATCAGTCCTGAACACCCTCAGGTGGGATACTAAGATTTCAAACATGTGACAAGGCTGACAACAGCATCTAATTAAAGGGGCCATTAAGAAACTAGAAGAGGCATCAAGAAAGAGGGAAAAATGTTCTAGCAATTGCACCGCTCGCTTCTTTCATCTCCTAATTTTTAGTAATAGTTTCACTCTGTGGAAACCCACAGTGACCTAACACCTATTTTGTGAAGTCAGGGAACTAAGGAGATCTCAGATGAGTAAATTTAAACAACTGTAGCTACAAGAATCAACAGTTTGAATTTTCCAATTTCACCCACAGGAATTTGCTCAGCAAGAAATGGTAAATGGGGAAGCTAATGGCTGGACATTGTAAGGGAACCAGCTGAACAAAGACTCTCAACTGTTGACAAGAGCAGAAACAAAACCCAGTTTTTTTTTTTTTTTTTAACTTATCTTTATTGTTGAAATGTATTATAGAAGTTCCTCATTTTATCCCCATTGACCCCCTCCTTCTCATTTCCGCCCCCCTCCTGCCTTTCCCCACATTGTTGTCTGTGTCCATTGGTTATGCATATGTACATATAGGTTCTTTCGTTTATTTCTTCCCACCCCTAATCCCCCTTCTTAATCCCTTCACCTTTTTCACCCATTCCCCCAACCCCGCTCCCATCTGGCAACCAACAAAATTTCTCTGTATCTATGAAAATGTTTCTGTTCTGCTTGTTCATTTTGTTTGTAGATTCAATTGTCGATAGATATGTATTCATTGCCATTTTGTTTGTTCATATTTTTTTATTTTTTTCTTCAAGAAGACCCTTCAACATTTCATATAATAATGGTTCGGTGGTGACGAAATCCTTTAGCTTTTCCTTGTCTGGAGACTCTTTATATGGCTACCAATTCTAAATGACAGCTTTGCAGGATAGAGAAATCTTGGTTGTAGGTTCTTGCTTTTCATCACTCTGAATATTTCTTGCCACTCCCTTCTGGCCTGAAAAGTTTCTTTTGAGAAATCAGCTGACAGTCTTATGGGAACTCCCTTGTAGGTAACTAACTGCTTTTCTCTTGCTGCTTTTAAGATTCTCTTTGTCTTGAACCATATGCATTTTGATGATGATGTGTCTTGGTATGGGCTCTTGGGGTTCATCTTGTTCGGGATTCTCTGTGCTTCCTGGACGTGTATGTCTGTTTCCTTCACCAAGTTAGAAAAGTTTTCTGCCATTATTGTTTCAAACAGGTTTCGATTTCTTGTTCTCTCTCTTCCCTTTCTGGCACCCCCAAGATGTGAATGTTGGCATGCTTGAAATTGTCCCAGAGGCTCCTTACACTATCCTCACTTTTTTTTAAATTCTTTTTTCTTTTTGCTGTTCTGATTGGGTATTTTTTGCTTCCTTATATTCCAAATCGATAGTTTGCTTCTTGGCTTTATCTACTCTACTACAGAATCTGTGTAAATTATTCTTTATTTCAGTTAGTGCCTCCTTCATTTCTGACTGGTCCTTTTTTATGCTCTTGAGGCCCTCACTAAGTTCACTGAGGTTCTCACTAAATCCATTAAGCATCTTATAAGCAGTGTTTTGAACTCAGCATCTGTTAGGTTGCTTATCTCTAATTTGTTTAATACTTTTCCTGGAGTTTTGTTCTGTTCTTTCATTTGGGACCTGTTTCTTTGTCTCCTCATTTTGGCTGCCTCCCTGTGTTTGTTTCTATATATTACTTAACAAGAGGTATGGAGCTAGCTGAGACCAGATGCTGCTTGCTTGCTTGAAAGAATTTAGGAAAACCTGAAGCAGCATCCAAGACAGACCAATCCTATGGTAAAGCAACTGGCAACAGCTGGGGTGGGCCTGAAAGCTGAGTGGGGCAGAGCCTCAGGGAATCACCAGGGCAGGTAAAACAGTGTGAGCCAGGTTGCTGGAGTCCCAGATATGGTGCCTGTCTGCTGCCCCAGAGAAGAGCTCACCAAAGGAACAAAGGCCTCTGACAGCAAGTTTGTCCAGGACAAAGCTGCCTCTCCAGCCCTCGCTCCAATGCCAAACAATTCAGTTGTTCCTCATATGTCTCTCATGCCTTTCAAGCTGCCTCCAGCACACTGGAGCCTGGAGGGTGCAAGTCCGAGTTAGTCCATGCATGGCACCTTTAAGAGGAACTGCCTGGGGCTCTAGCCGCCTCAGCCTCTCAGCCTCATTTCCCACTGCTTTTTCCAGCAAAAAGTTATAGGAAATTCTCTTCCTGGCACTGCAACCCTGAGCTGGGCACCTCATGTGGGATGGGGACCCCTTAGCCCTCAGGGAGGACCTTCCCATCAAAGGTATCCTCCTAATTTTTATCCACCACAAGCGGGTATGGGACCAGCCTGTCGCACCTCCACCCCTCCTACCAGACTTGATGAGGATTCTTCTTTAATTCCATAGTTGTAGTACTTCAATTCAGCTTGATTTCAGGCAGTTTTGAATGAAGGTTGTTCTGTAGTTTAGTTGTAACTTTGAAGTAGTTGTGGGAGGACGGGATACCACGGTTACCTATACTGCCATCTTCAAAACCCAGGTATTTCTTAACTAAATGCTCCTTTGTGATGAATGCTGCATATGCTCCACACTGAGGTGGCTCAGCAATATCATGGCCAGTGCATCTAGGTGAAAGTCAAGATGTCCATGACCCATCTCTCCACACTGGGGCTTATCGGCCTTGAAGACACCACCTTATAGTGAGACCATGTTTATTTGGTTTCTCAAGTTTGACTGGAAAAGTTTTAAACATTTGGTGAAAGGACAGTTAATTTTTAGGTTTCCTGGAAATTATTATTATCCTGTTAGGAGTGTAGGTGCTGTTAAGAGTATGCATATATGTATGCATATACATATGCATATATGTATGCTCACACCCATACTTGTACACTCATACCTACATATACTATCACACACTCACATCCTTTGATGCATATTTCACATATTCCTTCTTAACACCACACAGAGGTAAGGGAGAATTCCAACTATCTCAACCTGCTGCATTTGGCCTTCGCTAGCCAACTCCCAGGAAGAAAAGGAGGACCCAGGCTTTGGAAATTAGGAAGCACATGGACGTGGATTTGAGGCCACTCCCCTATAGACTGTAATACATGGAAAAGTGGCAGTACCCTGAGTATATGAATTGTGGACAGGGAGCTGGTGGGGCCTTTGTGATGGTGGTTACATGACTCTGGACAACCCCATCCTGGTAAAGTGATGAGTTCTCTAGCCCCCAGGTCTCCTCTTGCTTAAGGGTCCATTTCTTACACTGCCAGGATAAAGTAGGCCTGGTCCTATGGTCTCTCAGAAATAGCATAAGACAAAGAGAGGAGACCTAAGGTTTAAACTTCAGGCCACATTGGTTGTGTGACTGTGGGCAAGTTAACTGTACTACTCCAAGACTCAATTTCTTTAGTTTAAAAATGGGAATAAAATGGCCTATTTGTGGTTCTGGTGGTAAGTCAAGGCAGGTGAAAGTCCCCTGAAGTCCCTATACCCAACCCAAGGTCATGTGAGGACTTTTGTATGCCATGCCATGACACCCCCAAACCTTGCCAAGAGGGCTGTTATAAGAAAAGAGCTACTCTTCAAGTGTCACAACCACACATAGCAGGGAGAGGTCATGTCCCAGAGGTTCATCACAAGCTCTCTCAGACAGCTGCTCGCTGAAAACACCTATGTCACCTGCGCTGCTGCTTCTCTTTCTCACTCCTTATTTAACTGAGGGACAAGCACAGCTGAACCACAGGGAGAGATGCACAGGGATCTGTGCTGAGTACTCTAAGGCACTGATGGGTATCCTACCACTTTCACTTTACAGGTGAGGAATTTGAGGGGCTCCATGCACCCAGGGTGCAAAAGACCCAGAACTCTAAAATTTGTCTTGCTAGTTCCTCAGCGCCCAGCTCAACTGACCTCTTTCCACAGGTGAGAGTGGAGGACGAGAGGCCTGCAACTTCTTGCACCCCACCCAGAGCATGGCTGAGGACTGAGTGTAGGACACCAGTTTTTCCACAGTGTGTTCCCTCTACTATTCATGAGGGGACACTTTTGAGTGACAAAAGCTTTGAGAATCAAGACTCTCCCAGCAAACAAAAGCCCAGGCCTGGATGCCTTCATGGGGGAGTTTCTACCGAACATTCAAAAAAGAACTAACACCCATGCTCCTCAAACTATTTTAAAAAATTCAAGAAGAAGGAAGACTTCCAAACTCGTTTTATGAGGCCAGCATAATTCTAATTCCAAAACCAGAAAAAGATATTACAAAGAAAGAAAACTACAGGCCAATATCGCTGATGAACACAGATGCCAAAATCCTGAACAAAATACTACCAAATTGGATCCAGCAACACATCAAAAAAATTATTCACCATGACTAAGTGTGATTCATACCAGGGTTGCAAGGCTGGTACAATATTCGCAAATCAGTAAGTATGATACACCGCATAAACAAAATGAAGAATAAAAACCACATGATCATATCAATAGATGCCGAAAAAGCCTTCCACAAAATCCAGCATCCATTTCTGATAAAAACACTCAGCAATGTGGGAATAGAGGGATCATATCTCAAAATAATGAAGGCCATATATGAAAGACCTACAGCCAACACAGTACTCAATGGGCAGAAACTAAAAGCATTTCCCTTAAGAACAGGAACCAAGACAGGGATGCCCTGTCTTCACCACTCTTATTTAACATAGTATTGCAAGTTTTAGCCACAGCAATCAGACATGAAGAAAAATAAAAAGCATCCAAATTGGAAAGGAAGAAGTGAAACTGTCATTATTCGCTGATGACATGACACTATACGTAGAAAACCCCAAAGACTCCATCAAAAATTTACTAGACTTAATAAATGAATTTCGAATAGTACCAGGATACAAAATTAATGTCAAAAAATCGATGGCATTCTTATATAACAATGATGAACTCACAGAAAGAGAAACTAAGAAAACAATCCCATTTATCATTGCGGCAAAAAAATTATGATACCTAGGAATAAACTCAACCAAAGAAATAAAGGACCTATTCACAGAAAACTACAGGTCATTGAAAAAAGAAATAGAGGAAGATATAAAAAAATGGAAGCACATACCCTGTTCATGGAATGGAAGAATTAACATCATTAAAATGTCCATACTACCCAAAGCAATCTATAGATTCAATGCAATCCCCATCAAAATACCAACGACATACTTCACAGAACTAGAACAAATACTTGAAAAGTTCATATGGAACCAAAAAAGACCTCGAATAGCCACAGCAATCTTCAAAAAGAAGAACAAAGTTGGAATAATCACATTACCAAATTTGTTATACTACAAAGCCACCATAATCAAAACAGCCTGGTACTGGCACAAGAACAGGTATATAGACCAGTGGAACAGAACAGAGAACCCAGAAATAGACCCAAGGCAATATGCTCAATTAATATTTGACAAAGGTGGCAAGAGCATACAGTGGAGTAAGGACAGCCTCTTTAATAAATGGTGCTGTGAAAATTGGACAGCTACATGCAGAAAAATAAAATTAGACTATGAACTTACACCCTACACAAGAATAAACTCCAAATAGATAAAAGACTTAAATGTGACTCATGAATCCATGAAAATCCTGGAAGAAAATGTAGGCAACACAATTTCAGACATCATACGCAGCAGAATTTTCACTGGTACATCACCTAAGGCAATAAAAACACAGGAGAAAATGAACACATGGGAGTACATCAAACTCAAAAGCTTCTGCACAGCAAAAGATACAAATATCAAAACAGAAAGGCTACCCACTGGATGGGAGAGCATAATTGCCAATGATATATCAGATAAGGGGTTAATTTCCAATATATAGAGAGTGCTCATACAACTCAACGAAAGGAAGACAAAGAACCCAATTAAAAAATGGGCAGAGGAACTAAATAGACACCTCTCCAAACAGGACATACAAATGGCTAAGAGACATATGAAGAAATGCTCAGCATCACTAATCATCAGAGAGATGCAAATTAAAACAACAATGAGGTATCACCTCACATCTGTCAGAATGGCCGCCATCAACAAATCATCAAACAACAAATGTTGGCGAGGGTGTGGAGAAAAGGGGACTCTAGTACACTGCTGGTGGGAATGCAGACTGGTGCAGCCACTATGGAAAACAATATGGTGTTACCTCAATAAGTTAAAAATTGAACTTCCATTTGACCCAGTGATCCCACTTTTAGGAATATACCCTAAGAAGCCTGAAACACCAATCAGAAATAATATATGTACCCCTGTGTTTGTAGCAACACTATTTACAATCGCTAAGATCTGGAAACAGCCTAAATGCCCATCAGTAGACGAATGGATAAAAAAGCCGCGGTACACATACACAATGGAGTACTATGCAGCTGTAAGAAAAAAAGATCTCTTATCCTTTGAGAAGACATGGTGGGACCTGGAAAGTGTCATCCTAAGTGAAACAAGCCAAACAGAGAAAGACAAGTATCATATGATCTCACTTATTTGTGGAATATAATGAACATAACAGTCTGAGGAATGGGGTAGTCCCAGAGATGTGGAAGTGGGGTACAAACTGACTAGCCCTAGAAGAGGGGGTGGGAGGGAGAGATAAACCACAGCACTTTTATGCATGTATGCATGAACAATGGACAGGGACAACAAAGCTGGAGAGAGGGCGGAAAGCGAAGGAGAGGGAGGAATCAGTGGGGGAAAAAGGAGAAACATCTGTAACAAAAATAAATAAATTACGGCCCTGGCCAGTTTGGCTCAGCGGTTAGAGCGTCGGCCTGCGGTCCGGAGAGACCCAGGTTCGGTTCCCGCTAAGGGCACGTACTTCGGTTGCAGTTTGTCCCTGGCCCTGGTTGGTCGTGCGGGTGGCAGCCACTCGATGTGTCCCTTCACGTCGATGTTTCTCACTCTCTCTCCCTCCCATTCTATCTGTACAAAAAATGGAAAAATATCCTCGGGCGAGGATTAAAAATAAATAAATAAATAAATAAATAAATAAATAAATAACGGGGAAAAAAAGCTTTGAGAAGATGAGCCACCACTGAGCTCTGCCAGGGAAGCGTAGCATAGATTGTTCCCCACTGTACTACTTCAAGACTCAATTTCTTTAGTTTCAAAATGGGAATAAAATAGCCTATTTGTGGTTATGGTGGTAAATCAAGGTAGGTGAAAGTCTTTTGAAATCCCTACACTAGGTCATCTGAGGACTTTTGTGGGGTGAAAAAACCCTCTCTCTGTCTGGCCCAGCCTGGGACATCCTCAAGGGCTGTATTTCCTTACCTGTTTAGTTAATAAACCAGAGAGGTGTTGTGTCTATTAAAAAAAAGGTCAGAAATCCTTTCTTTTGGTCTATCTACCAGCCCCATAGGTAGTGTAGACCACCCACCAAGGGGTCTGCTCAACCCACAGTCTAGTGCAATGCCTGCAGTCAGGTTTCAGGCTCTGAGCTTCTTCCACAATGTCAGGCTCCTTTCCACTAAGCCAACAGGCTCCAAAGCCATTCACTAGCCTTGTCTCAAAATGTCCACCTGTCTCACTGATTACAGGCACACACAGAACACTTGGCTTGAATGGGACAGACCCCATCAATGAAGCAGAGGAGAGTGAGGGCAGCAGAGAGAAATTTTCCCTGCAGCTCACAGGCATACATAGGTAGATGCCTCTATACCACGTACCACTGTAAAGAGCAAGACTACTTTTAAATGCACCCCTCTCTCTTCTTTCAAGGAAGGGCACCCCCAAAGGTGTGTCTTCTAGAGTTCTACTGGCACAAGTAAAATAGGAGGGTTGCGGCTTTGCCATGTTCATGACTACAGCCTCAGCTGGTGGCATCACTGCGTCTACTACCTGCCCTCAGCCATGGCCAGGAAATCGCTGTCCTGGTACCAAAGAGCTACAACTCTGGCCTTGGGCACCATTGGCAAGACCTACTTGATCTTCTTCTCTGTAAGATGCTCCAGGGCAGAGTGGCAGTCATCCATCTCTTTCACAAACTCCAGGTTCCTCTTCTCAGCTTTCTCTAGATCTTGCCTTGCCTTGTCTCGTTCCCTTGCCATCTGTTCTACTTGTCCCCTGCCACAGGAAAAAAACAATGTTAATGAACACATGTCTGGGCCCAACAAACTGTGTCTGCATGAATAATAAAAAAGGGCTGGTATGTGCTGGGTGCATGGGACAGTCCAGTGTTGTGCTCTAACTTCACACTACTATCAACTTCCTCCTAAAGTGGTTTGTACAATTACTATGCCCATTTTACAGATGTACATACTGAGCAAGGTTAAATGACTTACCAAAGAAAGTTTCTAGAAGGTTTCTGAACCAAAGAAGTTGAGCCTAACGGCTTACAGTGTGCCACACCTCCAGAATGCCACAGAACAGTTGAAAATTCATCTGTGCACCCTCAGTTCTCCAGCTGGGACTTGGGTCCCAGGAGTCTTCAGTACTTAATCTGGGATTGGATGCATGAGGGGAGAAGGTTGGCCATCCAATACCTTACCTGGCCACAGCCTTGACACGTGCAACCTGGCATGTGAGTGTAAGGTTAGTCACCCTGAGAAGAAGGCCATCTGTGTCTGTGGCCCTGGATTGTTCAACCACACCAGTCCTTGGAGGCTCTTGAATCACCCTTGGCACTCACTGTTCTGGTGACCATTTTTACCACTGAAGGAGCACAGAGTTTTCCCCTGTCCTCCCTCCCACGGATTGAATACTCAGCTAATTCAAAGCCGAACCCAATTTAAGTGTAATATGTTCTTGGTCTGTTACTTAGCACTTGGTGGCCATGTTTGAAGAATACTTCTTTTTCTTCTCTAGCCAGCCACCAGAACCCAAGTACCCTCTGGCTGCTCTCAGAAGTGTATCCTGCTAACTGGAGGGTTTTTCTATCTCTGTGCTGCGAGAGTTCCAGCATAAGTAGGATGAGGGCCAAGTTTAAATCCTTCTCTTTGGAATCCTGCTAAAAGGGGATAAGAGATGACTTTGATATAGATTTCTAAGATGTTTACAAAGTAGAAGAGAAGGCCAGCGACCATGAAATTCTGTGGTCACAAAGGCCCAAGCAGCAGCCACTGAATAGTTCACTGGGTCCTCAGGCACCACTGAAACCACACATGTGGACAAAACTTGAGGGACAGGGAACCCTCATCTTACTCTCATTGCTCAGCTTTCCCCAATCCCACTGTGAGTGTCAGCTAAAGGAAAGACAATGGGAAAGGTGGTACAGACCCCCCCCACTCCCAGGGGACTGGACATTTAGGGTGGACGAGGGCAGAGTGCCAGTTTCCTTGGACTTCCCCCTCCAGGTCAGCTTGGCCAGCTTACTCCCAGCCCTACCCCAACAACACTGGGGCTCTTACTGGAAGAACTTCAGTTCCTGGCGGTAGCAGGACAAAGCCGCCTGCTGAGTGGCACCATGGATCATCATGAGCTCGTTCTCAAGGGCCCAGGTCAGTTCCAAAAGGTTCACCTTCTCATCCACACTGAAGCCGAGGCTCTGGAAATAGCAAGACCCATCAGGCAGAATAGAATGAATGGCTTCTCCAAACACTTCCTAGTTCTCTGTGAGATAGTCCAGGCCATGACCCATGCTGTCCTATAGGCAGCACCTGCCACTTTTCCGTTAGCAAAGTCTCTGCCTCTCTGGCATGCCTCTCTCCCACCCATAAAACTCTGGTGTCTAACCCTGCCCCACCTCATTCCTGTAAATGCCCAGTTATCCCCCTTCACAGTCCCTGCTTCAGGGGTAGGTGTGACCCCGGCTGGATAGAGTTCCCCTCCCAAGACAAAGTGACTGACATAGAAGAGGGACATTTCCCAAGCAGAGGACTAAATGAGGATTGATAGGAGGCTAGGAGAGAGGTCTTTTCCCTGTTGTAAGGACCAGGGAGCTGCATGAAGAAACCTGACCAGACGGCACCACCACCAAGAAGCAAACAAAGGGATGGAAGAGAATCTTGACAATATCCTGGAGCACCAAGAATCACAATGTCTGATATCCTTCTTCTCTGAGTACACACTCAGGTGTGCCATTAATAGCCTTCTCTCTGCTTAAGCCATTTTGAGTTGAGTTTTTGTCATTTCAAACTAATAGAATCCTGACTGGTATGTCTCTATAAAATATATGTATGGATAAGGTGGTTTTGTTGGTGGGAAATGATTAATGAGAGAGAGAGAGAGAGAGAGAGAGAGAGAGAGAGAGAGAGATGAGCCATGGCTAAGCATTCCAGAAAGTGGAACATTCTTCTCCTCTCAGGATTTTGAAAATGACAGAATAATTTTTACTTTATGTATTGTAGAGGGGGCAGGGGAGGGGAAAGAACACCCATATGCCTCTCTGCTGGACTGACCACTAACACCTTGCCACATTTGCATCTTTAGTGTTAAGTGTTCTTGACTCCTGCTTCATTCTTTTTTTTTTTTTTATTCTCACCCGAGGACATTTTTCGATATTTTGTTCAGATAGAGTGGGAGGGAAAGAGAGAGAGAGAAACATCGACGTGAAAGGGACACATCTAGTGGTTGCCACCCACACGACCCAACCAGGGCTGGGGACAAACTGCAACCGAAGTACATGCCCTTAGCAGGAACCGAACACGGGTCTCTCCAGACCGCAGACCAACGCTCTAACTGCTATGCCAAACTGGCCAGGGCCCTGCTTCATTCTTTGACATTTACACACAAGTCCAGGGTAGGCACTCCAACAGGACCTACAGAGAAAGAGTCACAGCATTCCCAGCTCATTTGTGGAAATGAGGGATGTCCTCCACCCATTATTTTTAACTTATAAAATGAAAATTTGAATTTCCACTGCTTCCTCACTTTCCAAAATGCTTCAGAAGAGAAACTATATTAAAGACTCCTTTGGCCCAGCCAGTGTGGCTCAGAGGTTGAACGTTGACCCATGCACCAAGAGGTCGCCAATTCGATTCCTGGTCAGGGCACATGTCCAGGTGTGGGCCTGATCCTCAGTGCAGGGCATGCAGGAAGCAGCCAACTGATGTTCTCTATCATCGATATTTCTATATCTCTGTCCCTTTCCCTTCCTTTCTCTCTCTAAATAAAAAAATCAATAAAGAAAAAAATAGTATGTGTTCTCAGTTGTAGCAAATAAAAATTAAAAAAAAAAAAGAAGTAATTTTGGAAGCTCAAGGTACTATTATCACACAAAGGCAAACTTCCAAGAAATAACCTCACAAGACAAAGTACAAAGACATGGCAGGTCACAGCAGCAGCTTCCAGATCAAGAAAAAAGAAATTATTAGCATGGGTGGGGGCTAGCTTTTACAATGGCCCCAGTGCTCCCCACCTCCTAGCATTCATGCAGTATACTCCCCTCCTACACTGAACAGAACCAACCTGTGTAACCCACAGCACGTAGAGTAAGTAATGGCATGTGACTTCCAAGGCTTGAGCATGAAAAACAGGCAGCCCCTTCCTTGTTCTCTTGGATGGCACTCCAGGGAAGCCAGCTGCCATGTTATGAGGGTGCTCAAGCAGCCCTAGGGAGAGACCCATATGGCAAGGAATGGGTGTCCTGCCTTTAGCTAGTACAACTTGCCAACCTGGAAGCAGATGCTCAGCCCCGGTCAGGCTTTCAGAAGCCTACAGCACTGGCTGACATCTAACCAACCTCATGGGAGAACCTGGGTTACAAGCATCTGCTACACAGCATCCAAATTCCTGACTCACAGAAACTGCGTAAGACAAGAAACACTGAATGTGTTTTAAGGCATAATTTAGTGGTGATTTATTGAGGAGAGACAGATAACCAATTCAGGGCCTCCTTACTGAGCAGCACCAGAACTAGCGGAGCTTCTGTAGGCACTCTTACAGGCCATTTCAGCACCCTAAAATGGCTAGAGGTCTTGAAAGTTGGGTGCATGATGCCAGCATGTCTAGGCTGAGGGCTCACCCAGCAGGCACCTCTTTCCCAAGGGGAAAGTCTTTTTCAGGCATATGTGCTTGTTGTTCTTGGTGGGGCCAGTAGCCTGAGGTCTTGACCACCAATTTCACAGGTAAGCAGTTATCCAGAGTAACAGGCAGAAAGGGCTCTGACTTGGTGTACCAGGACACTCAGATCACCTGCCAGACTCACTGGTGCTCCACCCTGGCTGTGTGACATCAGGTAGCCACACCACCTGTCAAGTGAGATAGAAACACCTTCAGGGCTGCGTGAGGAGTAAATAAAGTCACACACTTGACAGATCCTTGCTTGGTGCCCAGGTGCTGAGAGGAGTTCAGTAAACATCATTGCCTTTCAATAAAATTGAATCAAATCCTGAATGTAACTAGTGAATTATAAATTGCTACAGAAAGGGAACTATTCTGTAATAACAGGAAAGCAATTAGAAAGTAAGTTCTCTAATGTCAAAGGCAAAGTTGACACTCACCACTGGTCAGACTATGATAGCAGCCAGCCCACCTCCAAATACCGGGACTCAGCAACAGGGTTTCAGGTAGAATCTCAAAAACCTGAGGCCCTTTACTCTTTGCCCTCCCTGGGGGCCAATTTCTGTGATTTGGGCTCAGCCTCTGGTTCTCAGAGCAGTTTTGAGGGCCTGCTGTCCAGGTTTGACCTTGCCATCTGGGCTCTGCCCAAGGCTGCTGAGTGGTCAGACTTGGCAAAGGCTGAGTTTAGGTTTCTTGGGACAAGAAGCTAGGCAGACAGACTATCTTAAAGGCAGTTTGTGCTGATAAGGACATTTTTGGAGGCAATATGACAGAACCTATCAATAATTAAAACGTATAACTTCAGGAAAGTAACCTACAGAAATGCCAGCATTAAAGCAAAATAAGCCAGTCAGAGAAAGACAAGTACCACATGATCTCACTTATTTATGGAACATAATGAAAAAATAAGCTGTTGACCAAAAAAGATCCAGAAACATGGAAGTAGGGAACAGACTGACAAACCTCAGAGGGATGGGGGATGGGAGGGAAGGGAAGAGATAAACCAAAGAACTTATGTGCATATATGCACAAACTAGGCTGGGGAAGGCGGGAAGGGGATGGGAGCGGAAAGGAGGGGGTTAATTGAGAAAAAAGGGAGACATCTGTGATACTTTCAATAACAGATACATGTGTGTATATATGTGTGTGTGTGTGTGTATGGAAATAAATATATATATATATATATATATATATATATATATATGGAAAAAAAATACCAGCATTAGAGCAGAAGAATATACAAGTATTTTAAATGCCCAGATTTATAACAAGAGAAACCTACATATAAAGAAAAGGTAAAACAAATTAGCCAGATACATGGTATAATACCAATTTTACAAATTAAAAAAAAAAAATGGCATGTCTAAATATATATTTCTTTTTTCGTGCCAGGGAAAAGCTCTGTAGAATGAATGCCCCCTAAGTCATTAGCTACTGCCACTCCTGGAGAATGGGAGCAAAGAGGGGCAGGCTTTATTATCTTATATATTTCCATACAATTGATACTTTTTTTTTTACAACAGAAAGTGAAATTTGGAAAGGAAAATAATCTAGCTCACCACTCTTCCCCAGCAGCCTTCCCAGGGTCTGACCCTGAGGCCCTGAAGGAGATATGCCTTGCACCTTGGAAGAGGCTTGGACCCATCTGAGGATAGTCTCCTGGAACAGCCCCCGAAAGAGCATGGAGGAGCTTGGCATGAAGCAGCAGGGCAGTGAGCCTCCCAATGCCCGACCCAGCGTGGGAGGGTCTGGGGTGAGTAGACACTGCAGAGAGAAGAGTTCAACAAGCTGGGCAGGCAGCTCTGGGTGGAATCATTCAGATTTGATGTCCACTAAGACATCTCCACCACAAGGAAAAGGGCATCTGTACCACCTTGTCTGTGGGACTGACCTCCCTCATCTAGAAAAAGAGAATGTCTCCAAGCCTGAAATGCATTGGGGGAAATGCCTAAAATACTCAAACCTACCTTCAAATAGATTAGTCTCAGGCTGTTTCCTCTGCTTTTTATTTATTATCTTTTAACTATAAATTTCCTATATTTTAATAGCAAAAAATAAAGAAAAAAGTGTTTCCAACTGGCTTTCCCTGCATAGGGTTTTCTACATCCTGTGTCTGCAGGGTGCTCTGCCTGGAATCTTCTGTAGGATGATGGCCCCAAAGTCCCCTGCCTGGCTCCACAGTCTGGATGCCTCCCACTGGGGCAAGCTGTGAGTGACCAGTTCCAAACCTGCAAGACCTCCCTGCCATTATGAATCCCCTCCTGGGCCCACAGGGCAATGAGCTGCTCAGGAAAGGCAAAGCCGGTGCCATTGTCAATGCTGCAGAAAAGGCGTGGTGGGCCTGAGCACATGGACACGAGAGATGATGTGGTGGTGTCGCAGCCACCTTCTTCCAGGACCTGTATGTGGGAAACAAGGAGATGCTCATGGGTCTCCTGAAGCTTGTCTGTTTCTCTTTAACATTTTCTGATCTCACCAGACTGTGCTTGGCTCTTTGCTGTCTCACTGAGGCCTGATGAGAACAATTCACAGGCAAGGAAACAAAGGCACATCACCATTGCACAACTTACTCAAGATCAAATGGTATTGCAGGTGGTAGAGTGGGGATGTGAACCCAGGGCTTCTTACACCCAGTTCAACTCCCTCTCGAGGACCCTGGGTACCGCCTCTCCTACCATCTACTGGAGGCCTTGTACAAGGAATGTGCCCCAGCACCTTAGTGGCCCAGCCTGTCAGCACGTACCACTTAGAGAGAGATATAAAGAAGTTTAACATCTCTCCCTCAAATCAGTAATGGTGTGTGCTCGGCTTCACAAAAGAAGAGCCCAAGAAGGCATATGCCAGCATTAGGAAGTGCAGTCTACGGAAAGAAACCCAAGATGAATTTAAAGAGAGGAGGTGGGACAGGCCGAGCATTTCCTCAGAACTCGGAAACACAGTCTCGGGGGTTTTAAGATGAAGGCAAAAAATCCTGGCCATCCCTGGCTGGGTGGTTCAGTTGGTTGGAGCATCATCCCATGCACCAAGAGGCTGTGGGTTCAATTCCCAGTCAGGACACATACCTAGGCTGTGGGTTCCATCCCCAGGCGGGGAGCATATAAGAGTCAGCTGACTGGTATTTCTCACGTCAATGTTTCTCTTTCTCTCTCTCTCCCTCTCCCCCTCCCCTCCCTCTTTCCCTTCCTCCCTTGGTCTAAAATCAATAAATATGTCCTTGGGTGAGGATTAAAAAAAAACCTGACCTGTTAGGTTTAGGTGCTGTAAGAATCCACAGGGCAAGATTATTTTCTGTGCTGTTTTCTGTCCCAACCAGGGCCCATTCACAAGAAGCATTTGCTGTCTGAAGCCACAGGAATGAGCAATAGGAGCCCTTTTCTGAAGGCCACCAGGGATCCTGCTGCATCTGCAGGGACACCATCCTTGCCAGCCTCTCTCATCCCCTCTCACAGGCTCTAGGGCCTCCTTGCTCTTCCTGAACATTCCAAACCTGTCCCGTTGCCTAAAATGCTTTCCCCAGTGCTTCCATGGCTGGTCCCTTGCTCAGAGCTATCTTCTGATGGCATTCCCTTGGACCAGCCAGGATCTTGCCAGTCTACCACCTTCCCTAACAGTGCTCACTTCTTCAGCTGGGGTTCAATGGCCTTTATGCTGTCTGCCTTTCCTGTGGATACAATAACCACCTACCCTTTTCTACTCAGTTGTGTCCCTACCTCTCCATAAACAGTTCCTTGAGGATGGGGTAGTCACTAAGCTGTGCTGGGTACTCTACAGTCCCACAAAGTAGGTATCTGACCCTGTTTACAGAAGGGGAGAGGGAGCTCAAGAATGCATGGCCATCATGGAGAAACTCATATACCCAAATGCACCCAGACCACCCTAGTCTCCCTCCCACTTGCTTCCTATTTGAGGACTGTGAGCTTGGGAACAGGGACCACCATGCAGGGCCTGAATAGGGCTGAGGCAAATCTCCATATGTGGTACATATCTGAGGACCAAGCACTGTCATGCAATGACAGAGTCCACTCACACAGGATGGACATATCTTCCATCCCACAGCCATATCAGCTTGAATAGTCTTCCTGGACAGTCAGGTCTCATTGCTTGGGCCACTGGCATTTGACCAGTGGTAAGGTCCCACCTGGTCTGGCTCTTACACGTGTGCATCAGGCCCCTCTCCAGTTGTGCCTTCATTTCAGGACATGGGAAGAAGAGTGGCTCCATCTGAGAAGAGGCAACCTCCTTCCACTGGCTCTGTGCATGACTCATGGAACTTCATTGTGGTTTCTGACCTTATGTGGCCTGACAACACTCCTAGTTTCTTCTTTGTCTGTTCTTGTGTACTTCAGATTCAGAAATCTGATTACCAGGTTACCTGGCCTGGCAGAGAACAATGCTATTGGTCTTGCACCATCACTCACAAACCACGGGATCAGCCATATCAGCAAAGAAGTATCAGCGAGACTACCAAAGCACCTGCCGTGTGGGGGGAGAGGGTGGCCTCATTGTCCTGGGACTGAGAAAACCAAGTACTAGGCCAACAGTCAACAAACAAAATCACAGCTGCCTAAAATCTACTCTCCTCCAACTGTAGAGACCTGATATTTGTACAAGAGAGAAAACTCAAGAATAGAGGACAGGGAGAACACAAGTTAATAAGTACTTGGAGGGTAATCCAAGGGAAGGTTCTGAACCCTTTAGTGACACTGGTCCAGAGGAGGGAGAGTTGAACAGAGTGTAAGGAGACATGGGTTCAAATCTCCACTCTGTCACCTGCAATGCCAGTTGATTTAGAGCAAACAATGTGTTCCCACACTAGGAGACACAGAGAGGAACTATCATGAAATTATCATAAAACTCCTATGAAGTGGGTGCCCATTTCACAGATAAGGAGCCTGAGGCTCAGAGAAGGTAACTCACCCAGTGACACACAGCTAGAAAGAAGCAAGTCAGATCTGCTCCCAAATCTGTGTGGTTCTAGAATCTAAGTCACACGGCCTTCCACTTACACACATGTGCACTCCCCGACCAATTGCTGGGGCTCACTGTGGTAACACAGGCAGAAGGGTCAGGTCTGTGAAATAACGCTGAAGGCCAGCGGGTGATATCAGTAAGGCCAGAGTGTGAATGCCGTGGTTCAAGATTTAATTATCCCATTTTACCTGGTAATGAGTCCAGGACCTGCTAATTTTGACAGGAGTGGAAAATTCCAGAAGTGAAGTGGGCCCATGATTGAACAGGCCAAGCTGGAATTCCTCAAGACTCACTCTGCCATCCCGGTCTTGATCCAGTTTGTTAAACAGGTCTTCTAGTTCCTAAACAAAAGCCACCACACCTCTACTTAGAGGCTCTACCCACAAGCAGCTACATGCCCGCTACAGTCATCCAGACTCACCCATCCACCTGCCCACCCTCCCACTCACCTTCCCTCTCCAAACAGAGCAGTTTGCTTATCCCCATCCAAATTCAAACTTTTGGGTCATATGTGGCCTCCCCAGGCTCTGGCTTATGAAATCTACATGTCTGGTCAGTTTCCATCCTGCTGTGAATGGGTGCCACCTGAACTTCCTAAATTCCATCTATACCCATTCAGTGTCAAATGTGGCAGGAAATTGCTGGAGGGTAGAAAAGATGTACACATAGAGCATGACCTGGGCCCCCAGAAGTTCAGGTTCAGGGTTTAGCAAGGGCAGTAGGGCTAAGGGAGACTTTTGCAAGAGAGGGGTTGCCCTATGATCACTGCTTGTTCCTCCTCCCCTTGGCCCCTGCAGGAAAAAAGGAGGAGTGAATACAGTTGTTGGGAGTATAGCCAGGCTCTGAGGGCATTGTGTTTGGGCTCAGTGATAGAACAAAGCCACATAGGTAGGGGGAAAGGGCATTATAGGCGGAGGAAGAATACTGAGTGAAGGTGCTTAGAGGTTGGTAAGGCTGGGGCAATGCCTGGTCAGAGATGGACCCTTAAGGGTACAGACTTTAGCAGAAGCACCAAGAGTCATCAAAAACTTTTAGCCCAGAAAGCAATACAAATGAATCAGTGTCTGTGGGGTAAAAAAATTTTCCAGATCCAACATCAACTATGACCATTGCAAAGAATCAGTCATTGAGAATGATCTGTTCTGGTCCTTCTTACCTCTTTCTTGAGTCCTTGGAGCCCAATGCTCTGGCAGACCACAGCCAGCTCCTGCTCATTGAGATGACCACTGCTGCCAACACCCAGTTCCTCCCAGATGCCCTGGACCTGGCTTCTAGGGGTGTCAAAGAAGGGGCTGCGAGACTTCTGGGAATTCCCAAAGAGCTCGGAACCCCAGGTTGGCAGCTGGCCTGAAGCAGAGAGAGTGACAGGTAAACCCGATGCTCCAGGTGAAAGCACTAAGGGGGAACACACTTGCCAGTAAATTACTCTGAAATCAGATGGACACAGGTGAGTAGCAAAGCATCAAAAGTGGAATCCAGGCGGTGGGTACATGGGGATTCACAGTACAGTTCTTTGTTTTTTTGGTGTTTTCTTTTCATGGTATTCACTATTCTAAATTTTTATTTATTTTATTTTATATTTTTATCTATATTGTTTAAAGTATTACAGATGTCCCCCCTTTTCTCCCTGATTGACTACCTCTTCCCCTCTCCCACCCCCTTCCTGCTTTCCCCAAACTACTGTCTGTGTCCATTGATTATGCATATATGCATATAAATTCTTTGTTTTATTTCTTCCCAATCCCCCCACCTTGCTACCCTCTGAGGTTTGTCAGTCTTTTCCCTACGTCCATGTCTCTGGATCTATTTTGATCGACAGCTTATTTTGTTCATGATATTCCATAAATGAGATCATGTGGTACTTGTTTTTCTCTGTCTTACTTCACTCAGTATAACACTCTCCAGGTCCTTCCATGTCATCTCAAAGGGTAAGAGATCTTTCTTTCTTACAACTGCATAGAATTCCATTGTGTATAGGTACCACAGCTTTTTTACCCACTCATCTACTGATGGGACACTTGAACAGTTTCCAGATCTTAGCTATTGTAAACAGCGCTGCTATTAATATAAGAGGTGCATATATTCTTTCTGATTGATGTTTCAGGCTTCTTAGGATATATTCCTAGAAGTGGAATCACTGGGTCAAATGGCAATTCCATTTTTAATTTTTTTTTTTTTTATCCTCACCCGAGGATATTTTTCCATTTTTTGTACAGATAGAGTGGGAGGGAGAGAGAGGAAGGGAGAGAGAGAGAGAAACATCGATGTGAAGGGACACATTGAGTGGCTGCCACCCGCACGACCAACCAGAGCCGGGGACAAACTGCAACTGAAGTACGTGCCCTTAGCGGGAACCGAACCCGGGTCTCTCCGGACCACAGACCGACGCTCTAACCGCTGAGCCAAACCGGCCAGGGCCCATTTTTAATTTTTTGAGGAAACATATCATTTTCTATAGTGGCTGCACCAGTGGCTGCACCAGTCTGCATTCCCACCAGCAGTGTGCTAGAGCACCCTTTTCTCCACATTCTTGCCAGCACTTGTTTGAGGATTTGTTGATGGCAACCATTCTGGCAGGTGTGAGGTCTCATAGTCAACTATTTCTTCATAGTCATTTTAATTTGCATCTCTCTGATGCTCAGTCATGTTGAGCTTTTTTTTTAAGTTATTTTTTTCCTTTATTGATTTTAGAGAGAGAAGAAGTGAGAGGGGAGAGAGATAGAAACATCGATGGAAGAGAACATTGATTGGCTGCCTCCTGCAAGCCCTCCACTAGGGATCTGGCCCACAACCTGGGCATGTGTCTTCACCGGAAATCAAACTGGCAACCTCTTGGTGCATGGGTCGATGCTTAACCACTGAGCCACATCACCAAGACATGTTGAGCATTTTTTCATATGTCCTGTTTGGAGAAGTGTCTATTCAGGTCCTCTGCCCGTTTTTTAATTGGATTGTTTGTCTTCCTTTTGCTGAGTTGTATGAGTACTCTATATATTTTGGATATTAACCCCTTATCTGATGTATCATTGAAAAATATGTTCTCCCAGAGAGTGAGCTCTCTTTTCATTTTGATGCTTTTTTTTTTGCTGTGCAGAAACTTTTTAGTTTGATGTAGTCCCATGTTTTAATTTTTTTCCTTTGTCTCTCTTGCCCTAGGTGATGATAGATCAATAAAAATTCCGCTACATTTGATGTATAAGATTTTTCTGCCTACATTTTCTTCTAGGATTTTTATGATTCCACAAGTTCCATTTAAGTATTTTATCCACTATGAGTTTATTCTTGTGTATGGTGTAAGCTGGTGATCTAGTTTTATTTTTTTGCATGTAGCTGTCTAATTTTCCCAACACCATTTATTAAAGAGACAGTCTTTTCTCCATTGTATGCTTTTGCCTCCTTTGTCAAATATTAATTTTATATAAAGTCTGAGGTTGATTTTGGGTTCTCTGTTCTGTTCCATTGATCCATATGTCTGTTCTTGTGCCAGTAACAGGCTGTTTTGATTATGATGGCATTGTAGTATAACTTGATATCTGGTATTGTGATGTCTCCCACCTTGTTCTTCTTTTTTCAAGATTGCTGTGGCTATTTGGAGTCTTTTTTGGTTCTACATAAACTTTTGGAGTATTTGTTCTATATCTGTGAAATATGCTGTTGGTACTTTAATAGGGATTGCATTGAATCTGTACATTGCTTTGGGTAGTATGGACATTTTAATGATGCTGATTCTTCCAATTCATGAACATGGTATGTACTTCCACTTTTTTTTATAAAATATGGAATGATTCACAAGTTTGTGTGTTATCCTTGCACAGGGGCTATGCTAATATTCTCTGTATCATTCCAATTTTAGTATGTGTGCTGTCGAAGAGAGCACCACAGTACAATTCTTTCAACTTAATTTTGTGTTTGCAAGTTTCATAATAAAACCTCTCTGTTCCAAGTGGGGAAAGCTTTTTCTGAATGGAACCTACTAAAGTCACACCTCTGAAAGCACTTAAAAGAGGGCTGCATTATTTGTATTTACAATGAAAACAAGTTTTAGAAAAATTAATATTTAGAAACTTTTTAAACCTACCCAAAGTAAAGAGCATAGTACATTGAACCCCAATGCACCTGTCACTCAGGCTCTGTGATGATGAAAACTTTGCCATGCTGACTTCAACTATTCCCTTTTTACTATTGCTGAAGTGCTTGAAAGCAAATCCCAGATCTCATGTTTTTACCTCTACCTATTTAATATTTACTATGTATTTCTGAAATACAGACATTTCTTACATAATCACAATGCCACTATAAAACCTAACAACAATTCCCCAACTGTCTAAAAAAAGTCTGACTTTTTTGTTTGAATCAGTAACCAAACAGTGCATTTGGTTATCACTTCTCTTAAGTCTTTCAATCATGAGGCCCTCTCCTGTCCCCCAACCCCTAGCACTGTCTTGTTTAAGAAACTGGAGCAGTAGTTGTTCTATAGAATGTCCCCCATCTAGATTTGTCTGTTTCTTCATGCTATCATATAACTTGTTCCTCTATCCCTAATATTTCAGGTAAACATGAAGGCAGCATAAAAGGCTAGGTTTTAATTCGAATTCGGGCCCAGTTTATTTTTTCTTGGCAAAAACACTCCACAGATGAGGCTATATACTCCACACCACCTCACATCAGAGGTACAGGTGCCTTTGAGATGCAGACTCATCAGTGGCCCTGGCTGGCATGGCTCAGTTGATTGGGCATCATCCCATGCACTAAAAGGTTGCCGATTTGATTCCCAGTCAGGGTACATGTACAACCCCGGCTTGATCCCCAGTAGGGAGCATGCAAGAGGCAGCTGAGCTGATTGGTGTTTCACTTTCATCTCTCTCTCTCTCTCTCTCTCTCTCTCTCTCTCTCCCTCATCCATCTCTCCCTTTCTCTCTAGAAATCAATTAAAAGTCTTAAAAAAAAAGACACATCAGTGGGTTTGGGTAACAGATGGCCAGTTTTCATAACTTTTCCACTTTAACTAGTTGGCTTATTGATGTTTCTTAAGTTTTGCCAGAGAAACAACTTGTGGAAGAGGATATATGTTGGCAGTGTCCATGAGAAGATGTCCATAGATGAGCTATGCTTCAAACCAGACATATTAACCTTCACAACCAGCCCAACATAGAGAGAAGGCCACTTCTACCTAATTCAGACTTGAGTTCTCTGTCAGTAGTCTATACCTTTTTTTTTTTTTTGGTATGGGATCCTAGCGGGAACTGAACCCAGGACTCTCTGGTCCGCAGGCCGAGTGGTCTATATCTTTCAAGTAGATAAGCCACCTTGGTGTTAGTTACTTTGATAACCCAACTAATAATCAGAAAGACACTTTTCCTGAGGAAAACCAGGCCTGCATGCTCACAAATATTGCTATAGTTTGTAGCTGAAGAAAATGCAAGGATAGAATCAGCCAGGATCAGAAAGTGCTACCTCTCAGATCCCTCTCAACTTAAAATGTCTAGAATTTCTAGAAAAATGTAAAAGCAATTCTGATACTGGGGTTTATTTCTCAAGGCTGGCAGAGGATGTAAATAAATCCACTGAGGTTTGACATGAGTATTACTGTACTACTGTTGGTTCTAACTCAGATGAAAAGGTTTCTGTTCAAGGTTGGAAAGAAACCAACCTGCTCTCTGTGTATAGAGAAAGCACTGAATCGTTCTGTGAATAACCTGCCCAGGATCCCTTTCTTAGACTCTGAATCTAGGAAATTAATACGTGATGGCTTGGCTTACTCTTCCTAACATACGGGATCTCTATCCAGCAGCACAGGCGATGTTCAGGTTAGTTTCCCTGAAATCTATGGAGGTAAACATTGACCAGTGGCCCTACATTTGAGGACCACAATCTAGAGGTTACTCAGTGCCAACTGCTGATATTTTGCTGCAGCAGAAATTCAATGTCAACTCTGATATCCCTCTCTCCAAGCCAAATTTCTGCATTTTCTGCCATGTGACACATCACAGGCTGACGTATGTGATTTGCTTAAGTATACTTGTTGCTACTTTCTGGTTGCTGCCATAAGGCTCCCAAGGACCAGGACCATATGGGGCACAGACAGGGCCTTGGCAGGTGGTAAGACTATTCATCCACAGAAGAGGAGAGGCTACACTCAGGCCTATGCATCAGGAAGAGGGTGCAGCACCTGCCCTAGCAGCAACAGGCCTGAGATTTCAGGGCCCCACCTGACAGCTGGGATTATACTGGTCCCTGCAAAATATGAAATGTGGTAGAACCACACTGCTTCCTTAGACACTGGTCTCTGTCTGAGGGTCTGACTTCAGGTGATGCTGAGAATAGAGTGATAGCCTCAGAACCACCCTAAAGAAGAGGCCCACCAGGCACACCATCCACATTACATGGTTCCCCAAAATTATATTTGGCTGGCTCATTGTTCAATAACCCAGTTCCTGGAGCTTTCAGAGCACTTGTGAAAGGTAGCAAAAAGTATGAAGCCAAGGCTTTACCTTTTGCTTCAAATAATTCATTCTGAGATCCTTTAGCACTTTCAGTTTCTTCATCTGACTTGAGACTCTGCAGAAAAATAAAAAGAGGACATGAGTCCTGATAGGGTTTTGTTTAGGCCAGTGATGCAGGCTTGTGAAAGAATTCACAATAGAGGAGAGAAAAGAGAGAAAATTTATTAACTTCCCCCATAGTCAGGGAAAGGACCCATGCACTGACTGGCAATATAAGGGTGGAGCAGAAAGAGTAAGTTGCTCTTTTATTGGGGGCTTCTGGGCATAAAGGGCAGATGTGCCTGGGGAGTTTCTTATCATATCTTTGTTAGCTTGTAAAATATGGTTGGGAAAAAAGAGAGAAAGAATGTGGACCAGGGGCTGGTGACTAGTGAGTCAGTCATGGGTCCAGGGTCCAATGTTTAGATAATCGGGTTGTTAATCTTTCCATGATGTCAGGTCATCCCCTTGTCTTCAGATTAGGAGAATAGACAGCATTCTGAAGGTAAACTCCCAAGGCGCACACCTCCCAGCCAGGTCAGAATAGGCCTTTATTCTAAATTAAGCAATCACTAACAACATTGTAAAGGATGATTAACATTTTTCTCCCATCCAAGTACTAACCAGGCCCGACCCTGCTTAGCTTCCAAGATCAGACGAGATGCTTAACATTTTTCTAACTATGGCTAGTGCCCCACTATGATTAGTTTTCTTACTCTTCTAATATTCTCTATTAATTCTAATATTCTTTCCTGCCCTTTTCAGTTGGGTAGAAAGGTGATTTGAATTTGCAGACACCAGCAATCTCTATGTTTAATTACCAGGTACTTCTCATAAATTGTGGGGAAAATCATAGAAAAAAAGAATAAGTCCTGTCTTCTGTCCTTACAAATCTTCCAGAGGATGTGTCAGTGGACAGAGTACCAGAAATAAGAAAATGGTATGTATACCTTAGGGCTAGGTAGGGGCAAATGAAGAAAGAACCTGGTGAGATGCAACACCTCCAAATAAAACCCTACCTCTGCAGGGCATCCTTCACACCCAGACAGTAGTTCACAATAAAAACACAATCAAAAGTTCAAGAGCTCATACAAGGAGAGGCAAGGTGGCTGTAGAGTAACTTGAGGCTATGTGCCCTTGCTGCCAGCCAGGGAAGGGATTTACAGCTAAAATATTGTGTAATCAACTTAAAAAACCAAGAGAAGTGTAGCTGATTGGACATGTTATATCTAAGGAGCACTGAAGAAACAACACACAGACTGGTAAGAGGAGGGGAGTCACAGAAAGTGGGCATCCCCCTGGAGCAGGTGTGTGGCTGAGAGGCCAAGTGAAATCAGTTGCCAAGCTTCCTCCACTTGGGAGTGTGGGGTCTCAATCCCATCCAACAATCCCAAAACCAGAGCAGCAGAGACTGGAAGAAGAGCCTATGTAGCATAAGGCAGAGGAAACCAGGAGAATTCTGTCTGCCTGGGAGACTGAGACCACACCTTCCTAGTGAAGGAGTGCTCCTATTGTTAGTAACCCTAGCCTAAGCAGTTTGCTAGGGCTGACTACTGGAAAGGTTGTGCTGCTGAGTTTGGGTCCAGCAGAGAGTCCTATGGGTAGTACTCAGCAGTGATGGACCCTCTATTTTCTTGCAGGCATTGTGCAGAGTGCCACTTAGTGACTAAACTGTTTGCCTGGGGGAAGGGGAAAAGATTCTCTTACCTCAAGTGAGGGGTTGGGATGCCTCCTCCTTCCTGTGGAACCTTCCTGACTGCTCTATCCAGTGGGGTTAGCAGTAAGGAGGAGAAGGGCAGGTTGGGATTTTTGGCCCGCACTGTGGAGAGTTGGGAACACAAGAGGAGTGGGAATTTTGACCCCTGCTTTGCGGAGACAGCTGCACAGAGAGATAAGTCCTGAGTGGGGCTGATTTTCTAACCCATCCTGCTTGAACCTGTGGTGTGAGGGTGCAGTTTGCGCATAGTGCTGGGACGTTTGGACTATATCCCCCAGAAGGATTCTATCTGGGAAATAAAAAAAGTGAGTGCTGGGGTTTGTGACTGCATTGTGGATAGGCTAATCCAAGCTCCCTGTGAGTTCAGCTAGGCAGCCCCAGGAAGGAGAGGTATAGCCATTCACTCCTGCAGGCTGTGAACATCATCCCCAATAGGAGACTGGTTAAGCTCTGTGAAGTCCTGCATACCCAGCCCTCCCCTGGCAAAGCAGCTCAGAGAAGGATATTCCAAGTGTGGAACCCTCAGAGGCTATTGTCTGGGACCAGGACAAAGTGCTCAGCCCCCTCCTGTGGGCTGGACTAGTCTCCTCAACCAGAGACTCTTTTGATCAATCAACCTGAGCTCAGGGTAGCTAAAACTGCTCCTGTATAGAAGATTGCAGGCTGTATCCAACCTGAACCTGCAATAAGCACCCTTAGGGGGAACTAGAGCTGGAGTCTCTATTAGAAATTGAGGAGTTTGGCTTTGAAGCAGAAATTAATTTCCCCTCATTAAGTGTCTGCATAATTCTCTAAGTGGGGGCTCACTCGCCCATGTTAGGCTAGCCTGGATCCATCCTAAAAACTATTCTAAAGGGACTAGAGAAAGACCAGAAAAACTCAGAGGGCAGGCAGAATAGCTGACAGGTGGAGGTAGACCTCAGGGAGCCTCTGTCTGACCAGAGATCTTCTTCCAGCTCTAAGCAAAAAGAAGCCAACCCATTTGCACAGATTGGTCCCTCCCACACACACACAGGTCTAGCAGACGCAGACACAAACAGTGAACAGAGTTGTAACTACACACAGGCAACCCAAGGCCAGTTACACAAAATGTCTGACAGCAGCCTGCATCTGAAACCTACCCCAAAAGACCCATAAGAACTCAGAACCATCACAGTGAGTGGTGGGCCTCAGACTACATCAGAGTTCCACCCAATTAGATAAGCAAATGACATACCCAGAAGTGGATTCCCGAGGGGTTCTAGACCCTTCTGGAAACAATACTGCCTTGATGGTGAGCCCCTGCACAGCGTCTCATACATGGTAACAAAGGTTTATCTCTATAGACAGCCAGCCTGAAAGGTTAATGATTGTGCCTCTGAGCCCATCAAAACTGCACCTTCACAGAAGTCTACACACCATGGTCAGGGCTAAGCCTCACAGTCAGTCAGTATGAGGGTCAATCCCAACGAAGAAAGGGCTATCAGCAATCAAGACCCAATTATAAAAAGAGGGTCCAAACAACCCACACAAGAGATATTCTTAGAGGACCAGATCAAGAAGACTGCACCACTGGGAACTACAGGACACCTACAACAGAAGCAATTCATCAAACAGAGAATGCAGAATAATGGTTATAAGAATGCCCAAGGAACTTGGTGATAACAACAACAGCAGGAAAAAGGATATAGAAAAATAATCAGTTGGAAATGAAGAATGGCATATCTGAAATACAGAATACATTGGAAGGAACTGCAAGTCTGCTGACGAGACAGAGTATCGAATAAGTGAATTAGAAGACAAAACAGAAAAAGTCAGTCAATCAGAACAGAAAAAAGACAAGATAAATAAAAAGCAGGAGGATATTTTAAGGGGGTTTTGGGACACTATGAAATGTAACAACATCCACATTATAGGGGTACCAGAAGGAGAAGAAAGTGATTAAGGAATAGAGAATATTTTTCTCTGTACCGCAGGCTGACACTCCAACCGCTGAGCCAGACCGGCCAGGGCAGGAATAGAGAATATTTTTGAAGGAAATGTCACACAAGTTCAGGAAGGACAGAGAGTGCCAAACAAGATAAACACAAAGGGACCCAAATGAAGACACATCATAATTAAAAGGGCCAAGATTAAAAACAAAGAGAGAATATTAAAGGCAGCAAGAGAGAAAACAGTCAGTTACCTACAAGACAGTTCCCCTAAAGCTGTCAGCTGATTTCTCATCAGAAACACTTCAGGCCAGAAGGCTTTGGCATGAAGTAATCAACATAATAAAAGCAAGAACCTGCCACCAAAACTGCTCTCTCCAGCGAGGCTATCATTTAAAATCAAAGGTGAGACTTCCGGTCAAGAAAGAGGTGTAGGTAAATGTGGTACTCACCTCCTCCTACAACCACATCAAAATTACAACTAAACTACAGAACAACCATCATTCAGAACCAACTGAAATCCAGCTAAGTGGAAGTGCTACAACTATGAAATTAAAGAAGATGCCACAGTGAGACTGGTAGGAGGGGGTGGAGGTGCAGACAGACTGGTTCCACATTCATGTGTGGTGGATAAAAATCAGGTGGGATACCTCAGCTGAAAACACCACACCAGTCACCCCAGCTCAGGGTTCCAATGTCAGGAAGAGAAGTCCTCATAACTTCTGGCTGTAAAAACCAGTGGGGGTTGAGGTTGAGGGAGACTGAGTTCTTTTTAAAGGGCCTGAACATGAACTTACTTGGACTTGCTCTCTCCAGGCTACAGAATGGGGGAGGCAGCTTGAAAGACACCAGAGACATATGGGGAAGAACTGAGTTGTTTGGCATGAGGTTGAGAGCTGGAGAGGCAGCTTTCTCCCAGACACACTTGCTAGTGGAGGCCACTGTTACTTTGGTGAGCTCTTACCCCATGGGCCTGGCAGACAGGCACCATATCTGAAACTCCAGCAACCTGGTTCATACTGTTTGCCCTACCCTGGAGATTCCCTGAGGCCCTGCACCACCCAATTTTTAAGCCCACCCAACCAGTGGCTTTACCATAGGATTGGCCTGTCTTGACTCCTACTTCAGATTTTACTAAATTCTCTCAAACAAGCAGCATCTGGCCTCAGTGAGCCCCAAACCTCTTGCTAAGTGACCCCAGGCCTGGCACCAGAAGTAGCCAGCCTTGGGTTATAGCTTGGCCTTGTCTGTGTACCTCCAAGCCCAGCACAAGAAGCAGCCATCTGTAGATCACTTTGTTGCTCATACCTGGTAGCCCTGGGTAGAACACAGGCAATGGCTGACCTTGCCCCAGTACCAGCACACCCAGTGGACAGTTTCAGACCACGTCAAAGCACCACCACCCAACCACCTCCACAAGCAACATACTCAATGAGTGGACTTAGTAGG